AGTTATGTTAGCTAAAAGGTAGGAAATTGAACTATACATACAGAAAACAATTCAGAGAAAGGTACAGTATATGCAAATCAGTTAAGGAGCATCCCTTTAAGCTTGTAAATCAAATACAATGGAAAATCCCTTGTTGCAAAAAAAAAAAAACGAAAAAGGATGGACAACATTTAAGGAATTATGTCTTCTGACTCCCAAATCTGGAAAAAGTTGGGTTGGCTAGAGGAGCAGCAAAATTTCTGCAATGGTCTAGAATAGATCTCAGTCATAAAAACAAGAATGAATGAATGACAAAATTCTGTAATATACTTAACAGAAGAATAATACACTTGCAGTTGCTTAAGAATAAACATCCCTAGGTTACCTCTTATGTTTAATAATGATGTTCCAGCCAATTACTAGTTAAAAGTGGTGAGGCCCTTTTTTTTGGCCATAGCCTTTACTATGATTAACAGATAGGACCTCCCTCGGCCCCTGTCCATCCTTTTACACCTAAGCATGGCACAAAGCTGTCCTATCAGTATCTGTTTTTTCTACTTGGCCCATAACATTGTCTTCACATTTTCTCCAATCTATGAGTTGAAATAGGCATATATCGGCTTGTTAAAAAGTATATTTTTCCTTTGACACTGTCTTGTGGCAGCCTAAAGGTGGATAAAATCTATTCCAGTTATCATCTATTACTTTGGCGGGAGATGCTGTATTCACAGCTAGTAACTGGGCACACAAGCAGGACAGAGATTTTCAACAAAGATAGAAGATTTCAAGTCAGTTTGTTTTCTGCTACCTGGAGGGAGACTGGATAGCACTTCACTTTAGTTGGAGAAACACCAGTTTAAAAAAATTCCCAAAAGAAAGAACTGTAATGAAAATTGTGATTTTAAAAGATGTTCTTATTCTCCCTTTTTTCCCCTATCTACAGTAATCCAGCCTTTGCAGCCTTCAAATTAAAATAATAGGTACTACTATTTCTAGAATTAGGATTCCTTTTTTTAATACAAGGCCCATGGAGTTCCAATAAGTTGGAACAGTATTTTGCAGGCCTCGAGACTGGATGGCCTCTTCAAAAAATTCTGATTTCTGCATTTTGCATTTCTGTGTGATAAGAATGTCAACATAAAGTACACCTTAGCATCATTTCAACTATCGATTGTGAAAGTGTTTTTCCTTCTGGATGTGTAAGTTGCTATGCATCTACACATGTATACGAATCCAACAAGGTAACAGTAAAATTCAGATCTTAAACTTGATACAGAAAAGTTATTGTGTTGTGTCATTACACTGCATGGATCTCCTGGGGGTGAGCAGCATTTGATTATAAAATAGTCTCTAAATAGAGATTCTAACCTAGTAAAATAGCACGCATGTGTTGGAGTGAAAGTAGGTTTGGGTATACTTAAAATGTATAAAACAACTGACTGGAGTTGTCTTTGCTGTTGATATAGACTGCGGATAACTAAGGCTGATAATTTAGTCTGCACCTTCTATATGGTACTAAAAAGTACTGTGCAAAAGGTTCAATTGACCAAAGCTGATGTTTATGGTCCTGAATAATGATGCCTGCGGCACATGAAAGCATGGGAGAGGTTTCCACGGGGAGATTTCCCACGGGGAGGTTTCCCACGGGGTGCAAACTTAGTTTACATTGCGTCCATTGATTTACTGGTTGATCACAGAATCTTTTCTTACAGCCTCATATTTGTTACAGGTACAAACACACAATATTGTAGGTCGTACAAGTCACACAAGTGTTGTGATATCTACAGAAAAGCGCTTCAAAGAAATTTATCTGACAAAATAGTGAAAACATTTTATTATCCTCTTGCATTCTATGCATGATAAAATGTCTTTATCTCTTTAGTAGAATGATATAGATACATCCAGTGTTAGGTTTGTATACCCGATTAATTACTTCTTATATGAAAGATATTTCCAAATTTGGCACCTGCAGATTGAAAGGATGTATGTCATCAGCCGACACACCCTGAGAACTTTATGACTAGCTCTTTTGTTACTATAGGTTGGCGAGGTGGCTCAGCAGTTAAGGTGCTGGGTTTGTTGGCTGGAAGGCTGGCAGCCCAGGTTCGTGACCCGAGTGCCCTGTGATGGGGTGAGCTCCCATTCTCATCTCAGCTCCTGCCAACCTAGCAGTTCGAAAGCATGCAAATGCGACTAGATAAATAGGTACCACTTTAATGGGAATGTAACAGTGATGTCATGCTGACCATATGACTACAGTGCTGGCTCAATGGCCTTGCAACAGAGATGAGCCCTGCCTCCTAGAGTCAGCAACAACTACTGGAGTAAAATTCTCAGGGATTTCTTTACCTTTAAGTATACTACTTCTGTTAGTATACCTGTGGACCTGATAGGGTGTTCTCTCACACTTGTAGACATTTGATGGATATTTGTGGGCTCTAATGAACAAGGTTACTGCTTTATTGGTGTATGCCTTGGTTGTTTCATGATTATATTACTGCAGTAGTCTCCTGGCCTGTGATCCCGATTCTGCTCCCTATCCCATAATCTTGATTCAGGACAGTGTCCTTTCACTAGTCTTATATCAGCACAGGTAGGCCTTGCTTGCCAAATGCCTCACTTAGTGACCATTCAAAGTTACAATGGCACTGAAAAAGTAACTTTAAAACCAGCCCTTGCATTTATGATTGTCACAACAACCTACAGTAGGGTTGCCAGATCTGCTTCCAAAAAATAGCGGACAAGCGGGGTTGGGGGGGGGGTAAGTAGTTAAAAAAAATTACAATTAAATTATATATTTTCTTACAAACATTTTAACATGTATTAAAATAATCACTTCAAAACTTTACTTAAAATTCAAAACATCAAATATATTATAATAATATGTAAAATATTAAATTACATTTTACTTTGCTGTCGTGTGTATTTTTTATTTGGCTGCGCAGCTTTGATCAATTCTTTGGGTTTAAGGAATAATTCTTTAATTTCAGTACAATGTTGAGAAATATTAAAAAATATACAAAGTTTACTTCGAACTGATACAAGCAGTCGGTTACGTTCGTCAGTCCACAAATTTCCCATGACGCTGAAAATTCGTTCAACGTTTGCATTTGATACCGGAATTGATGCACAATACTGGAACAGTTTTAGTAAACTTGGAGCTGGCTCTTTCTTGAAAAAGTACGTCCACTTATCAAGGGATGAATCGCCCTGCAGATGAACATAAACTTCTTCTAAGGCAGAAATTTCATCGAAGAGAGTGTTGGGTGGAAGTTCTTCTCGCCATGGTGATAATAACCAGATGTTCGTCATTTCTTCTAAAGTTGGAGGATTATTGCGATCAATTAGATTGAAACAACTTAGTGTCTCATATACTGAATCGGTGAAATTATACCACTTTTCTAGGTACGCAATGGCTCTTTGATACATGTTGATGGCTTCTTTCTTGAACTTTTGCATGGCATTCCCAGGCAAATGTTTTTTACGTAAGGCAAAAAAACTTTCATTCCAAAAAACTGCTCAGCGTATTTTTTTTGCAAAGAATCACGCAGCTTACACATGATAATGTGAAGATCACATGCAAGAATTTTCTTGCTTTCCAGCTTCAGTAGGGTGTCTTGCATTATTGACATGAAGAAGTGTGTGAAATATAAATACAATTCTGAAATTGTTGGTTCATCGTCCTTTGCGAGTTCATTTTCCTGATCCGAAATAAGGTTCCAGGTAACCTTATGGCACTCATCAGATCCAACAGAAATAAAATACGATTTTAGAGGTACCCAGTTTAAAAGAAGTCTTTCGACCACTTTAAACAAACTTAACCAACATGTTGGAACATGGCGCAAAACTTCATGGAATTCTGACTCGCAAAACTCAAAAAATGATTTCAACTCTTCTCGTTTCTTCGCAGAATTCGAAAATTCAGCAAAAACCTTCAGCACTACATTTTCGATATCAAAAGATAACTGCTTTAATGCATTTTTTGCGCTGTTGTGTAAAATGTGATTATTGCAATGAGCATCCGATCTTTGTCTCATTCTAACTTATGAAAAAAAAGACAAAACGCGATTCTCCTATCCTTATTCTCTTAGACTGTGCAGCTTTAGATTATGTACCATTTCATCATAAAGCTTTTGAATAAAAAAAATGTCCACTATTTTGTGAAAAAAAATAATGAACATAATGTGAAAAAAGTGTACTGTCCACTCAAATAGTGGACACCTGGCAACCCTAATCCTACAGTCACATGATCACCATTCACACACTTTACAGGCAGCTTCTGACAAGCAGTGTCAATGGAGTAGCCAGCAGTAAAACTGCAAGTCACAGTCCTGTACTGTCTCATTTAATGACTCACAATTATTTGCTTAACAACTGTCCCAGAAATGAGGTTTTAAGCCCCTCACAGTCACATGATATTTCGCTTAATGACAGATTTTCCAATCCCAACTGTGTTAGGTAAGCAAGGACTAACTGTATAGTACAATGCTCTTCGCTAGTTTTTTTCTCTAAAGCAGAGTCCCACTAAAACTATCAGTTCTTGTGTTACGAACCCAATCCCCTCAGGATTTGTCTGCCATTATTTCTCCCTACAATTCTATTTGTTCTTTACACTTTTCTGAGAAGGCCCCTTTTTCACTTCACTGGAATCAGATTCCTCCTTTACGCTGTTCCCCCCTGAAAAGTTCTGGGCCATTAAAAGGGATTTAAAGAATGTTTTATTTAACCAGGGTGTTACGATTAATAGAGAAGAGGAGGAGAAAATTTAACAGTTCCCAAGTTCTCTTTTATTTTAGTATATATAGATATATACGGATTTATATATGCTTGATGTATGACAGGGCATTGTTTTAAATATGTTACATATGTACAATTATTATGTTTATTTGTCTTTGCTGTTAATATTTGTTTAGGCTTGACTGTTAATATGTGAACTAATTTTATTGGATTGGTTTTTGTAATTATGTGCTTTTCTGATGATAATGATTAGCTAGTATGTGTAGAATAAATACAAACACATATATGCTTACTTCAAAATCTTGAAGCACAAATTTTAATATCAGTTGAAAATTATATAAAATTTCCCAGCTGTTACATCAGTTTTTATAAGGTTTTTAACATAAGGTAAAATACCTCTTTCTAACAATGTTATATTTTGTTTCATTTAACTATAGAGAGGAAATTATCAGAGCTAATATTAAAAAGAGACTTGCCCTGTAATAAATGAAAGGAATGGAAGAGGCAATAGCTCATTAATTTTGTAGATTAACTGGTGATTTGTGATTCTTTTTGGTTAAGCATACGGTATAGGAGTATTTCACTATAGAGAAGAAATTATAATTGATTATGGTTTTGCAAATTAGGCACATGCATGGAATAATAATATTTTATTGTTTCAATAAACAGTAAACCATAATTAGATCTGTTTGATTAAAACAGACTAGAGACTATGTAGTCGGTGTATGTGCCATCAATCAGACCTTCTGCATTGTTGTGAATAAACCAACAAGTAACATTTGTGCCATGTTTTGAATCTTCAGTGTAGTCTTTTTGCCATCCCCTGCAGAAAAATCACAGAGAGTGAAATTTAAAAGGCAAACTCCCTGCAGGTAAAATACCATTTCCACAACCCTTGAATGATTGTTTACCTGGTGACAGTCAGCTGGTGATTTTTAACTATCATGGTAGCATCTGGTTTCTCTGGAGTAGATCCAGAATGGACCTCAAGTATGGTAAAATTAATTGGGTGAAAAAACTGACCTGAAGATGAAAGCAGCAAGATCAGTTAAACTGTTTTCTAAAAAAGCATGTCAAATAGAAACTAAACAGAATCTTTGTCTTCGCAGAGGTTCTACTTAGCCAAAGACCTACTTCTCCCTATTATTAAATATAACTTGACTTTTAAAGTACTGTTATTAAAGATTATAAATACTAAAATAAATACAAATTAAAATTAAAGTAGAAAAATAGAAAGGAAAAGGTGAAAGGGAGAAAAAAGATGTAAAGAATAGAAAGCAAAAAGAAAGAAAAGAAAGACTATAATAAAGACAAGAAATAAATATGTAAGGAAATGATTCCATCTTTCAACAAAGCAAGTATGAACAATTTTATTAACTTATCACTCTTAAATTACTCAAATTATACAAATAAGCTCTTGCTTCTATATACCATCTATTATCTATAAACAAATTCATAAACCATTGTCATTTCAGCAAATGTCCATTTAGGATTATCAGAAATAGCAAAATATCTATTTTAGCTTTGAGTAAACTTTATATTCCTTCTTTTTACTTCTAATAATCTTAAACTTTGTTCCATTCAAATAGTATCATAGAAGTTGATTTCTTTTCATTTCTTCTTTGTCTCTTCTTCAAAGCTTTAATAAGTCTAAGCCCAATATAGGAAAATTATCCATGTCACTCACTTGATTTATTATTTCTCTGTCCCTTTTAATTAATAAAACATCAGGGTTTGTTTGTTTGTTTTTTGTATGCCCAATAAATAATATTTCCATGTCATTCTTGTAACCTGTCATTGTTAAATCCACTTTCAATTCAGTCTCTTACTTGTAGCACTTGTTCTCTTTCATTATATTTTTTTTTAGACAGACTATCCATATAGGTCAGATATTGCTGTTGATTGACATTGTTAATATTAACTTTTGACACAATTTTTCAAACGTGTCCTTCAATATTTCCTGAATTCACCATACTGTATCTATTAGACAAGTTTATGTGTTCTTCTCTTTAAGTGAAATCTTGGGTTCCCTGTAGTGTCCAGTTTTTAAAATCTTGCCTTATTACATTTTTTAAAAAACATTTTCCTGCAGGAAGGATTCTTTATAATTAATTCCAAATTCTTATTTCAAATTAATTTGGACGTTTAATTGGTTTGCAGCTTTCTAAAAGTTTTTGTCAACTTTTTGCTGTTTATTTCAAAAAACAATTTTTAAATTTCCTGAGTTTATAATAAATACATACCTGTTATTTCCTTTTAGTTTTCTTGTTTTGGGCAGCTTGTACTTTTTTTAAAAAAAAAAAAACCTCCCTTATTATGACCTTGTAATCCCTTAATTTTGAGTAGAGTCAGACAGACTGGATGGAGCTGAGTTTTTACTGGCTTGGTGCCCTTCCTGATACCACGCTTCTAACTTCATTGCTGCCATTCATTTCAAACAAAAGGGATTGAAAACAATAGCACTACCTTCTGATACACAAATGTTCATCATATTTTAATTTTTTTGTAAAAAAGAAAAAAAATAGGACATTATATCTCTCAATTTGCAATGCTGGTATGATATCATCGTTCAAAGGATGGTTGTAATATAAAGCAATAAGAGAGATATTCATCTTGCATCCTGGAAGCCTTTCTATGGAATAAGATCAACTCTTTGGATATCTACATAAATGAAACTAGTCAAGAAAGATATTTAAATCCTCTTTTCCCAGTATACAAAAGAAATTAATATATTAAAAAAAAAAACCTTATGAAAGAATTACCAAAAAGGAAAATTAATTATATTACATCAAGAAATCCAAGACTTATTCTTGTATATTAATAACAAAACAGTTGCTTGCCACTTTTCATCTTTGCAAGCACAATATTGTATGGAAGGAAGCTTCAATTATCAGTGCCTTTCAGATTTAAATAGAATGAATGGATCCTTTTAACTTCTGCACATCAAAAATGTTGCACAAATTCCTACCTAATAAACCATGGGTACGTTCAGAGAATCTGTGGCTATCCAGTGCATAGAACCCTAGAAAATCTCCATGTGTTGGATTTCTCCGCCAAACTTGATGTAAAATTATTACAAATGTTGCTCCTTCTCCCATAGATACTTCCAGACTCTTCTTTCGGATAATTTTCAAGGTCAGACTAGTTTGCATAAGAAAACATGATAGAAACAGGTCAATACGATGGTAGTATAAGCAGGCAGCCCAAGCCATTTTTTAACCAATGAGACAAGTAGAACTACTGCTTTCAATGTGCCCACACTACCACAAAGAAACTCTAAGCTTTGCAAAGCTTTTCCAAAATCTTCCATATGGACAGAGGACAGGGGAAAAAAATCCTGGGAAATGTAGAGATATCCCACAGGACATCGGATTTTAATGTGATCTCTCTAAATTACAGATGTCCTATCTGTGGTGTATCTGTAATTCGTTTTACCTTGCATTCATACTGGTTTGACTCTAAACCATCTTAAGAAAAACCTGTACAGACTACAAGCTGCTACATCCGTCTCCCTCAACAATTCACCTGCGGATGTGCTTTTTCAACATTCTGCTTCTGGAAAGCAATTGCAAAGTCCTTTCCTTCCTGTGACAGGCCTTCCTCATCATTTATATTTTTATAGTCTGTGTCTATATGCATGTTTGTATCAATGTGAAAAAGTGGACCATGTGAACCCTGTCTGCCACCCTGACATGTGATCTCTCAGGCATATAAACTATGCCTGGAGGTTATCAAATTTGGGGGGGGGGAAATAACGTGGAACAAATTGCATTCTCCCTGAGATCCAGATGGCCTTGATCTTTTGGCCTGTCATAAGCCATGAAAGACCTTGTTGTTTCCCTGAGGCTTTGGGGTCAGAAGGTTATATGAACCCCATGGGTTGATTTGTTTGGTTCCAAGCCTTGAATTAGAACTAGTATTTTTAGTGATTATCTCTGTGAGGAAGATGGATGGTTCAAAAATGTGATTAGATAGATAGATGATAGATAGATAGATAGATAGATAGATAGATAGATAGATAGATAGATAGATGGATGGATGGATGGATGGATGGATGGATGGATGGATGATAGATAGATAGAGAGAGAGAGAGAGAGAGAGATATTATTGAGTCTGATTTGTTTTGACTATGATTCTGTTTTGGTTTCAATCTTTTGCTCACCTCCTCAAAATACTGTATTGTGAGATGGGCAGCAATATACATTATTTAAATAAACAAACAAGCAGATAAGGTATATATAAACAGAGAGAGAGGAGGGAGGGAGGGAGAGAGATGGGATTGTCTCATGGAAAGGGGGAGGAAGCTAAAATGAGTTAGTATTGATGGGGTACAGAAAAGGTACCCCATACAAAGGCAAACAAAGTAGAATTTAGGCAGTTTTAGTTGCTGAAGAAACACTGGTTCTGGGGTATATTAGAGGCCACTGAACAGGCTTCTAGGGTGAAAGAAGAACACTGACAATGGAGGAGGATCAGGGTTTGAGAGATAATTCTATCCTATACAGATTTCCAGGGAGAAGTGGATCCAGAGATCAGTGTTCTGTTAGCCACATGAGGTTACCAGGCCAGCTATATTTGGTCTGAAATTCCCATCTAAAATTCAGATGGGAACTGACTGAGTTCTAACTACTTATTTCAAAATAATTCAGGATAGGCACTGACTTTTTAAGCATTATTTTGAAGGTAGGGAAATAGTTAATTCCTGAATTAGGAGCCTTGGTAGTACAGTGGTTTAATGCACCCTGTAATTAACACAGCTGCCTTCAATTTCTGCAGGTTCGAATCTTACCAGGCTCAAGGTTGACTCAGCCTTCCATCCTTTCTACGGTAGGTTAAATGAGGACCCAGTTTGTGGGGGCAATAAGCTGACTTTGTATAAATATACAAAAGTATGAAGGCTATTGCTTAACGCATTGTAAGCCGCCCTGAGTCTCCGGAGAAGGGCGGCATATAAATCAAATCAAAAAGAAAAAAGAAAAAGAATGGCCGGATGTTTAGAGCCATAAAGGGATTTCCTGCCTTTCCTACAATCTTGCTGGAAAAATAAACAGGATTTGAAGGTCTATTGGTTTTAGCTGACTATCATTTACAGAGCTGCCTAGTCTAAAAAACTCCCCAAACTTTTCTATTTTTAAAATATTATAAATGAAAAGAAAAGTTTTCAGAAGAAGGTTCTTGCATGTTGTATGTTTGTCTGTTTGATATTTCAACCCTCCCCCGATGAGAAGATTCATTATCTCTCTTATCACTCTCCATATGCAAATCTAAATTAAATGTGTAAACTTAAAATATTAAACACACACATAACACAGAGGCACAGAGGCTCAGCAACCAGTTTTAAAATAAAAATGCTTTTTCTCTACTTTACCTGGACAACCTCTACTGTAATAACATTTACAGCAGATTTTTCTTTGTAACGTAATGTTTATATCTCTTGCTTAATACAGCAAAATCTTAGTTTGAATAAAGCAGTTTTTATCTCAAATTACTATATTTTTCCCTTGTACTATCTATTTTTCAGCTATATTTGCTATTTTTAATGTGTCCATCCAATGCATTGTTTCATTATCTTCCCAGTCACTTCAGGGAGTAGAAAAAATAATGAAAACAGTGGGAGGAAGTGGAAAAATGATACACTGGTGGCAGTGATGGGTTGCCCCCAGTTCGCATTGGTTCTATAGAACTGGTAGTAAAACTGGTGGGAGGCTCTGCCCACCGACCCCGACGTCATCAGAACGCTTCTGCGCATTCACAGAAGAGCGCATGTGCGCACTTGCTTTGCTCACACACGTGGCCCCATTGCGAACCAGTAGTAAAGGTAAGTAGAACCCACCCCTGACTGGTAGATTTATTTGTTTATTTTAAAAAAATAATGGCAAAGTAGACAGCTCAGAGAAAGAAAAAAACCCACCAATGCTGGTAATCCTCGAATTACAACTTTTCATTTAGTGACTGTTCGAAGTTACAACAGCGTTGAAAAAGTGTCATATGACCAACAAAGCAGAATATTTGTAGCTCAGGGCTGAAATGAGGGATCCTTGCTGTTCTCTGAGCTGGGTTGTTTTCTTGCAGTTGTTTCATTACCCAAGCTAGGTTACATCACTAATACTAGTGTTCATTTTCCCCTTTCCTATCCTGATAGGAAGCCAGCTTCATCCTGAAACATCCAATGAGTAAAAAAAGTCTCCCTCAGTGTGAATGGTTCAGCCTAGCTGTGGAAAGTTAAGTACAACCTAAGCTTTTAGCCACTTGGCAGAGTATGTGTTTGATCCTAAAGCAGGGGTCTCCAACCTTGGCAACTTTAACACTTGTGGACTTCAACTCCCAGAGTTCCAAGCTGTCTCAGGAATTCTGGGAGTTGAAGTCCACAGGTTGTAAAAGGGCCACAGTTGCCCACCCCTGTACTAGGGAGATGTAGCAAAATTATATGACATTTGTCCCAGTGTTTCTCTCTCTCTCTCTCTCTCTCTCTCTCTCTCTCTCTCTCACACACACACACACACACACACACACACACAAACACACTCACGGGGGGGGGGGGAGGGGAGAGGGAGGGAGGGAGGGAGAGGGAGAGGGAGAGATTGTGTAACTGAATAAGTACAATTATCAAGCATATTCCCGGATCTCTGTTTAACCATGGTTAAAGTTCAGATTACTTGCTATCTTTCAACATAACCCACTCTATAGTCTTGTTGTGAGGTTAAAACAGGAATCAGTATGATACTGTCCTTGCCTGTAAGAGCATAATAAATTTAATGAATTATGAATAATGAATAATGAATTTAATAATAAAATAAAATACTTTGATGGGTCAGCATCCTTCTTTGAGTTTCTTGACTCAAATCCACTTTACTATTAAATATGATTTAGCTCTTACCTGGGATGTAGTAAGGTAACTTCATCCAACCATGTGAATGTCATCTGCTTTGTGCCATTGTGTAGAATGATTTTCTCAGGAGTTACTTCAAGCTTTATATTCAATTCTTCATTGAGAATCCCAAGTCTACCGATATAACTGTTCTGTGGCTGGACATCATTCCTGCTCTGCTTATTTCCAATCAGCTGTCCATTGACAGTAATGCCTTAAAAAAAGGATGAAGAGGAGAGGCCCTTTCTAGGTTTCTTTCAAGGGAAAGCAATTCGATTTTATTCTACAAATAAATACAATTAAAGGATGTTCAAGCAGTTTTCAATAGCTATAGAAATATACTAGTGCAATGAAATAGTATATTTTATGCCCTGCAAAATCACTGTAATAATAAATCTGGCTTTTTCAGTTTTGTTCCTTCTCTGTTACAGACTCTTTCTACAGAAAGGCATCTTCTACCCTGCCCCCTCCTTAAGGATTTGGATGGTCCCAATCTTGCTGCTCTTTTTGTAAAGCTGTGAAAATGTGTCTCTTTCCTCCAGGCATCAGGCCATGGTATTAGTTCAGCCAGTTTTGTAACTGTCTTGGCTGTGCTGTGTTTTCTAATGATTACATTTTGTGACAACCCCCCCTCCCCACCCTTCCCCTTATTTTTCTGTTTAAATCCTAGGCAAGTTGCCCAAAGTTGCAATTTGTAAGTTTGGTGATCATATGAATTGATTAAATCAATAAATACGCAAATATCTGAGCTAATCCTTAGGCAGGAGATGAAATAAGAAAGGGTCAGCGTCATTTCAACTTACCTGTACTAGGATCCCTGATTAAGTTTAAAATTTTCCCTGGATCTTCATAAATGTTAAAGCAAAGATGATCATCGCTTTGTGGGATGTCTATGATGAAATGTGGATCTCCATCAACTGCAGAGAGAAATGGGTCTCTTGATCTTTGATTCTCATACAAAGCCTTCTATAGAATTATGCCTTATGATATATTTTGCCCCTTTTATCATTAATGTCATCAACATATTCAAAAAGAGAGTCTGAACTCAGATGTTTGATTGGCATGGTATTCAATCATAGTTTATTTTAACCACTACTTCAGTGGTGGGTTACTACCCGTAACCCACAGTAGTAACCCACCCACCCACCTGGATATCTCTGCGCATGCGCAAACACTTCTGTGCATGCGCAGAAGCATCACACGCGTGCAATCACACACGCATGCCCACAGGCAAACCAGTAGCAGCCAAAATTGAAACCCACTACTGTACTACTTGTTGCATAAGTCCCAGATGGCTAAGTACATCTCACTGTTATACGCCATGATATACAGTACACAACGGCTATTTTGCTTTTAATCAAATTACATTCCCACGAGACTTTAAATAAAGCCAAACAGACTACATTATGAATTTTGCATCACTATTTGTTAAGATTTCACTTTGCACGTTTGAGGTTTAATTCCAAAGCCATTTTATTGACATTTTCTGGGTAAATTAGATCTCCTATGAATTTGGTTCACATACTATGATAATATTTTCAGTATCGTAATACTTTCAGTGTACCAATGAGTTGAAGGTAGCACAGTGGCTCACGTGGTTAGGATGCTGGATTGGAGGTTAGCAAGCCCACATTCGAGACCCAAATGCTGCTGTGAGGCGGGGTGAGCTTCCATTCTTCACTCCAGCTCTTGAGAGGGACATGAAAGGAGCCACAAATTGGAAGTCCCCCAGGAAATGGTGATGTTACCAACTAATCTTTTCAATCCAGAAACGCCTCGGTGCTTCTGACACGAGTACGATGCGAATATGTGATGGAAATATTTTCATATAAAATTTGCACTGGAGTTTTAGATTTAGATTCACCTACTAATCTCCTTTTGTACAGAAATTCTCTTGTCCATATCCTAGATTTTTCTAACCAGTGTTTGCTACAATTGATGAACCATCTGATTAACATTTTGAGTGAGATGATAACATAGCTATAGAGATACTTCTTCGTTATCGACCATTCATTAAGTGACTGTTCAAAGTTACAATGGTACTGAAAAAGAAGACTTACATGCTACCAGTCTTCAAAGTTCCAGCCATCACAGCACTCCCACAGTCACATGACTGTGACCTGGGCACTTGACAACTAGTTCACAATTTCAAGGGTTGCAGTATCCCGTGATCATATGTTCACCTTTTGCAACCTTCTCTGCTGGCTTCCCACAAGCAAAGTCAATGAGGAAACTGACAGGGAAGGCTGCAAGTCACTCTGGTAAATCTCTCACACTCTCCTCTGCCTGGCAGCAGCCATTCCTGGACTGCTATGCTTGCACTATGCACTATATCTTACCTGCCTGCTGGCCATTTTTGCAAGTTACCTGGAACTCGCTTAAGGACCTGTCATCCTTGCTTAATGATGGCAGTGGGGATTGTTGGGGTTGCTGTTGCTAAGCAATGCGTCCGCATGATGTTGCACTTTACTGTTGCATCACTTAGCAATGGAAATTCCAATCCCAGTTCCCATTACTAACTGAGGACTGCCTGCAAATGGTTTGGCAAAGCAGAATTTTCAGCCATGCTAACTAAATTATTATTTGTCAGGTTTCATGGCATGGCAAACCACAGTTAGAGAAAACTAGAAACAAAAAAGGATATAACCTGTGAAAAAGGGGTCTGTACGCTACTCTTTTAGCATAGTCCTAAACCTCCAAATTAGATGGGACCAGTGGTGGGATTCAACTGGTTTGCACTAGTTCAGGTGAACTGGTTGTTAAATTACCCACCCACCACTATCAAAGTGGATCCTGGGCGCTGTGCTGCGCTGCAATGGAAAAATGGGCAACGGAGCGGCCGGTGTGTCCCTCTTTCTTCTCCCTGCTCCTCCTCCTTTCCTCGTGCTGGCCATTCCATTGCACGTTTTTCCATTGCAGCACAGCGCAGCGCCCAGGATCCACTTTGATAGTGGGGTGGTGGTGATAATATAACAGCCAATTCGCCCAGAGTCAGGTTGCCCATCGCGGGAAGGCTCGTCTCACATGTGCAGTGGAGCTGGAGGACGGGGATGGGCCATGCTTCCCACGACAGCCAACCTGACCCTGGGCGAACTGGTTGTTAAATTATTTGAATTCCACCACTGGATGGAACCCATGTATATTACTAATTTGTTTTATGGTAAAATAATCACAATATAAAGTGTCCACCAGCAGACTTTAGATATTACACTTTTCTACTTCTTTCCATTTACAAAAAAAAAAAGACATCAAAACAAAACTTACCACTTGTGTACCTGTGACTAGGTACTGATGAACTATATGATGGATAAGATGCTGATACTACTGCACAGGGGGGAAAAGAAAAGGGGTTACACAACTGAAATTAGGATAGCTGTATTTATTTTACCAACTTTAAGGCACACTGAATTTTTAATTCAGTTTTCATCCTGATTTTAACAGCAGAGTTTCAGTGAATGTCAACACTATATTTCATGTGACTGTTTTTTATTTGTAAAATGTCTGCTATTGTCAAATAAATAAAAGAAATGGAAAAAACAATATGAATGAAATAAAATAACATGTATCATTCTAATGAGATTCCAATCAACTAACAAAGAAAAGTCATACAAGAAGAGTACAATAAATCTGTACTGATATACTTGAAGAATTTCTGTCAAGGATTTTTAATTAACTGATCAAAAATTATAATGGTTCATTTTGGGCATTCCTATTGGTTCAATTCTGTGCTGTCTATATATCTATTTATTTATGAAAGCCTACTCACTTCATTTCAACTTTGAAATGAAAATTAATTGATCATCTCCAAGAGAATATTCTGCAGGCAGTCATGAACATGGACAGTCCATATACCAACAATTCCCTCAAAAAAAATGACATTACTTTTCAGTGAGTTGCTTTTATTAAGGCAGTTTATTTCAACCACTTGAAGGCTTATCCTGAACTATGCCCATGCAGATTTAGTCATGTTCTTCTATAAGATTTCCCCAGGGGTGAAATCCAGCAGCTTCTGACAGGTTCTGGAGAACTGGTAGCGGAAATTTTGAGTAGTTCGGAGAATCGGCAAATGCCACCTCTGGCTAGCCCCAGAGTGGGGTGGGAATGGGGATTTTGCAATATCCTTCCCCTGGAGTGGGGTGGAAATGGAGATTTTGCAGTATCCTTCCCCTGCCATGCCCACCAAGCCACGCCTACAGAACTGGTAGTTTAAAAAAATGGATTTCACCACTGGATTTCCCCAATAGGAAGGAACCCGCTTCAGAGGCAGTTACACTGACCACAATAACAACTTAGATTTATGACTGTATAGAAGCCAGATCCTGAGTAAAAGGGGATTCCATAGATGGTCACGGCACTAAATAGCTTTAAAATGCTTGTTGTGAAAAGATAAATTGATGGAGATAAAGTCTCTTGGAGACTAGAAGTGGTTATATTTATTTATTTATTTATTTATTTATTTATTTATTTATTTATTTATTTATTTACATTTCTTTATAAGCAATTTCTCACAAGAGATTTCAGAGCGGTGTATAACTATTCTTTTACTGCAAAACAATAAAATCCAACTAAAAAAAGCAATACAATTTTTCAGATCCACAGGCAGATTGATTATTATGTAAACAAGGAAAATAACGTATCTCTGTGGGTTTTTTTCAATATTACTGTTAGCAGTATTTTCAATCAGTTCAGAAGAAATGTCACAGAAACAATTTTATCCAATTCCTTTTTAATGAAATGAGATAGTTCAAAAATATAGAATTGTCACTTACATTGTCGAGTAGCTGCAAATGAAAGAAATGCAAAGAATTACATTAATGTGAATAAGGAAAAGAACCCTAAATCCCCACTTTTCTTAAGTGTTATTTTATTATTAGGAATTTCTACAGATGAATTCCTGAAGGATCAAAATACCCAGAATATTTGCCACATCCAGCATTCAAATCAGTTCCTTCAATTACTTTTTCCAATGCATTCTAAATATATTATAGAGAAAGGGAGCAATTTTTTAATTTTAATTTTACATATCTAATATACACAATTAACAAAACAATTTTATACTACAATAGAAACCAAAAGAAAAAGAGTGAAAATTGGGGGGAGGGCTACACAATCCCAAACTAACTAAGAGTAAAAAGTGGTAGAAATACTTACATGTCACAAGTTATCACAAGTCACTAGTTTACTAATAAATACACTAATATAAACAATACAAAATATTATTGTAAAACTACACAAAATTGCTGCCATAGCATAACACATTGCTACATCCTTTAATTAGTAGAAAATACCCTTTCCAAAGTAGATAGATCACACATTTCCAACAACCATTCATTAGAATATGAAATAAAATTACTTTTTCAATTTCTCAGTATGATTCTTCTAGCCACCCCACATACTTCACAGAATTAGCAGTCTCACTGTATTGCATATAAAAGCCCATTTTCATGGATATATGAAAGCGTGGAGCTTGTGATACATTGCCCCAATGCTACTTTGGTCATTCTAATGAATACAGCCAATTCCTAAACACAGCCATCATCCAGACCAAATACTTGTCCATTCATATGGCCAGTTTTGACATACAACAGATGAGCCCTGAGATCTATACCACTGGCAGTAATGAACCCCCAAATACCACTTAGTTATTTTCCTTAATTATTTTTTTAAAAATTTAAAGTTAAAAATTAAAAAAAAAGTCAAACTTACCCTCAGCTGTTCCAACAAGGCATAAGAAAGGTGCAAAACAAAAAAAATGACATTATTAATAAAGTACTGCTTTGATAAACAAAAGTGTGTGCGTGTGTGTGTGTGTGTGTGTGTGTGTGTGTGTGTGACTGGCCCAAAGTTAACCCGCTGGCTTTCATGCCTGCAGTGAAAGTAATAGAATCGGAGTATGGAAAGCTATGCTAAATGGTATTGAGGTAAACTAGCGCACGCTCACGTTTGCGAACCGGTAGGGAAGGTAAATGAATCCCATCATCTAGTGTGTTAGCCATTCCTGCCAGCTTAGTATCATCCACAAATTTCCCTCATCTAAGTCAATTATGAAGATATTGAAGAGTACGGGGCCTAAGATGGAACCTTGTGGTACCCCACTGCTTACTTCCCTCCATGTAGATGTAGTACCATTAAGGATTACTCATTGAGTACAATTTGTTAGCCAGTTACAAACCATACTCAGTCCAATCTAAACAATCAAATCCTTCAAAAGATAATTCAGAATACATAGGTAAAGGTAAAGGCTCCCCTCGCGCATATGTGCTAGTCGTTTCTGACTCTAGGGGGCGGTGCTCATCTCCGTTTCAAAGCTGAAGAGCCAGGGCTGTCCGAAGATGTCTCTGTGGTCATGTGGCCGGCATGACTAAATGCCAAAGGCATCCGAAACGCTGTTACCTTCCCACCAAAGGTGGTCCGTATTTTTCTACTTGCATTTTTTACGTGCTTTTGAACTGCTAGGTTGGCAGAAGCTGGGACAAGTAACGGGAGCTCACCCCATTACGCAGCACTAGGGATTCGAACTGCTGAACTGCCGACCTTTCGATCGACAAGCTCAGTATCTTAGCCACTGAGCAACCACGTCCCTTTTTCAGAATACATAGCAGCCCATAAAAGCATTGCTTTCTGGATCAATAAAACATTCTTTTCCAGGTTTATGTGGCTGCTTCACTGAAGTGCTTCAGAGTATCTCCACATGTAAATACAGCTATTTCATATGTGTGACAATATCACTTATGTCCTTTATTGGTAACATTATAAAAGTTAGTAGGTATTGGTACCTTCTAGCGGCTTGTCAGCAATTGCAGCATTATCAATATTGTCTTCTGGCTTTGTGACCACCATGGATGTCAGAGGAGTCACAAACTTATACTTCAGAGACATCTCCAGGACTTTGGCAGTAAGATTAGTCTTCTCATCGCCCTTTGCTGAATTCCTAGATGACAGAAAAATATCTTATATATTACTTACCACTAGATGTTTTTACAGCCAGTGGCATAAAGGCCTTCTTTTTCTTCCTCTTTTTTTTTTAAAAAAGGATGCAATACATAGTCAAAAAATGACTAATATCTACAATAGTAATCAAATGCAGTAATAGTTTGACAACTAAATACTGGGGTCAAGTAAATGAAAATGACTGTTTCCATCGTATGTTTCCATCCTGAGCATGTCTTTTATGAACATTTTGTAGAGTCTGAAATTGAAGACAAGAAGCTGCAATGCAGTGATGGGTTTCAAATTTTTTTACTACCGGTTCTGTGGGCGTGGCTTGATGGGTGTGGCATGGCTTGGTGGGCATGGCTTGGTGGGCGTGGCAGAGGAAGGATACTGTAAATCTCCATTCTCACCCCTCTCCAGGGGAAGGATACTGTAAAATCTCCATTCCCACCCCACTCCAGGGGCAGGATACTGCAAAATCCCCATTTCCTCCTGATCAGCTGGGACTTGGGAGTCAGAGAATAGATGGGGGCGGGGCCAGTCAGAATTTTTACTACTGATGCTCCGAACTACTCAAAATTTCCGCTACCGGTTCTCCAGAACTGGTCAGAACCAGCTGAAACCCACCTCTGCTGCAATGATTTCTTTATTAAAAGGCATCTGCCGCCTAATATCTTAGTTGTACAATACTTTCACAGCTTGATACACTGACATGGAGGTTGCGGTGTTATTTACATTTAAAAGGCTGTTGTATAAAATTCTGATACTGACAATGCATTTTTTTAATTCTCTCTTTTTAATTGTTTTCTGTTGTGTTTTAATTATGCAAGCCACCCAGAGCCATTTTGGACTCAAGCTGCCTTCTAAATTGAGCAAACTATATTTTAATAAAATTTTAGAACAAATGAAAATAGAGTAAGTATTGCAATATTTATAATGCTATAATTATAGCTCCCCTACATATTGAGCTGTTTTGTATTTTCTATGGGGTTATTTAGTTAAATCCTTGATTCTTTTAAGTTTTATCATAAATTATGTTTTTAAATATTTCAGTATGATATTGTTTTTTAACAATGAACATGTGGTTTAGAAATTCTACAAATCAATGTGACAAACGCAAAAAACTCTGTGTTTTATGCGGCTTATGCCAGTGGTGGGTTTCAAAAAATTTTACTACTGGTTCTGTGGGTGTAACTTGGTGGGTGTGGCAGGGGAAGGATACTGGCATGGCTGGTGGGTGTGACTTGGTGGGCGTGGCAGGGGAAGGATACTGTAAAAATCTCCATTCCTACCCCACTCCAGGGGAAGGATACTGTAAAATCTCCATTCCTTCCTGATCAACTGGGACTTGGGAGGCAGAGAATAGGTGGGGGTGGGGCCAGTCAGAATTTTTACTACCGGTTTTCCAAACTACTCAAAATGTTCATTACCGGTTCTCCAGAACTGGTCAGAACCTGCTGAAACCCACCTCTGGGTTATGCCCAGGTAGTTACGCATAGGATTGCTACTTCGTTGGATTAAACAGGATATTTCTATAAAATTTCTAAACTGGTAGTATTATGAGGAAAATATTCTTCATTACCGTTTTTCCAAAAGCTGTTGAATGGTTAAGTAAGACCAAAGTCTCTCAATGTAATCCCCAAATATGTACTCCTGATCTTCAAAATCTTTGGCTGTTTGACTAATATCTGATTCTTCAGAGAAAGTTAGGTCATCTTCGGCCTGTTAGAAATTTTTTAAAAGAAAAGCTTTCTTTTACTGATTCATTTGTATGACAGCAATTCAGATTGTTTATATTTATAGTAATAGTTTACTGTACAGCAGTCACAGCATCTATAGGTATGCCTCAACATATGACAGTAAGGGAGCCTGGACTTCACAATTGTAAGTCACGATGGTCATAAAATGGTTGGACCAACTAATTTTACCTTTTTTGCAGTGGTTATTAAGCAAATTCATGGTTGTTAAGCAAATGCCATGGTCAGCAAGCTAACCAATAGTACTCATTGGGTATGGTTTTGTAATGAACAGGCAAAGCTTTTGTAAAAAGTGGTTGTGGACTGTGGGACCCTAGAATTGGCCATAAATATGGCTGTATTGCTGAGCACCCCAATTTCCTAACCCTTTTAGGGCTCCAAAAGATCCAGAAGCAGAATGTTCATTTAAGTCTCCTATGTACACACAGAGAGACTCTGGCACACATACTATACACTTTCTACTTACTGGATGCCAGATATGGAAAGTACTGAAATGACTCCTTGGACTATGTTTTAATACAGCAGCCCCCCAACCTTTTGGGCACCAGGGACTGAGTCTGTGGAGAGAGGTTTTTCCATTGACCAGAAGGGGTATGGTTTCGCGTGCTGTCTGCATCCCACGGATGGGGCTTCGCTTGTTTGCGTGGCCCAGTTTCTGGCATGCCATGGACCGCTGCCGGTCCACACACTCACATTTGAGGAGCCCTATTTTAATAGATGAGTTGTTGTGCTTTGAATGACAAGTTCCCATTTATATGACCCTTTTAAATAGGGAACCGTTATATAGAGATGGGGCTGCTCTCCCGCACGTGAGTGGAGAAGGATCCAATCTTGTATTTACCCCATGAGCTTTCACATCTGCAGTTATACTGTTGAGAAGATCGTCTATGATGCGTCCAGCCACAACAATTTCAGAACCGTCATAATAGTGTTTAAAATGATTTTGAGTCAGATCAGAGATGGCATTTTCAGGGTAGTGTAACTCCACTTCAGTAAGTAAAGGATTGGCCACTTCATCATAAAAGCCCTAAAGGGAAATCAAAGAGAATGGTTTTTTTTAAAGCAAATATAGAAACACCTTGACCCAATTATCAGTAAAACTTCAACTTGACAGTCTGTCAAGGGGAATGGGTGCCCCATTAAATTCCATTATTTACTAAGGAGCCAGTGATGCAGTGGTTAAGGTGCTGGCCTAGAAACCAGGACACTATGAGTTCTAGTCATGAAAGCTGGCTGGGTGACTTTGGGCCAGTCACCTCTCCCTCAGCTCAATCCATCTCACAGGTTGTGAGGAAATTAGGAGGAGGGAGGAGTAGTGTTCACTGCCTTGAATTGTTTATTAAAAAATTAATAAAGGTGGGATATAAATAAATAAATAAAGATATACTTGCAATGTGACTATCCTTAGTAGCTGTGGAGGTGGCTGTTAAGATACAAGTCACTGGGAAGTACAGTAGGTAAGACTTATTCAGCTACAAAAACAATCCAACGTAACATGCTCTGGGGCATGCAATCTGAGGCTAAACGAGAGTTCCCTTCCACTAATCTTTCTGTTATTGCACTGGAGAACTCATTGGGTGACCTATCTGGCTGACCTATCCCAAGCCATGCTCATCTAGAAAAGGATGTTACTGCTGGACTTTATTTTTTTTTAATAGACTTAAAAGTAAAGCAATTATATAATAACTATCTCTATCTATTATTTTATACAAATGTTGAATGAATAATTTATCATTTAAACCTGCAGCTGCAGAGCAGAATCAGAATCTTCATAGATACGCCGAGCCAACCCATTGTTCTCTGATGCCATCTTTTCTAAAGATCCATAGTCCAGATCATAGCCAAACCCAAGATTATATAAAGGATACTTTCCTTGAATAGCATTTCTAACATTTTCTAAAATTGTGTCTGTGTTTAATTCTCCTACAGGAAAACACACGAAAAGTTAACATAATTTTTTTAATAATACATTTTTGTTGTTCTTGTTTCACTTATAATACCCCAAGTAATAAAAACTCAGCTTAGTATGAATTTTGAACATGGCTTGCTTTTGAAATCAGATTGCCACTCAGGACAGCAGTTTCCTGTTCTGATTCAGTTAACATATAATTGTGGTTCATATTAACAAAGCAGCACACTGTATTTTGATAAGAGAGTTGAGATCTGAATTATTTTTTGTCACACCCAAACGCTTTTTGTTTTTCCCTTTATATGAATGCATGAAGCAACCAGGAACCGTTTTTTGTGTGCAATAGTTTTGTGCAAGTATGGTTTAAAGTATGGTTTAAAGTTACATAACCTAGTTTGTTCAAAATTTGTTCATTGGCTTGGCTAGAGTTACACATCAAACTAATCCATAAAGTAATTTGGTCTTGGTTATGTAAATCCAGCCAACTGTGATGTATTCAACAAGTGAGAATTTAGTAAACCATACTTAGCACAGTGTGTGAACCCAGGCATTATCTATATAACTCCCTGGGTTTGATAAAATGAGAAATGATGATTTACTGAAGGATTTATTACATGTTCCAGCTCATTGAAGCCAGAAGAATGAAGGGACTCTAAGCATGGTTGAATGGTTTATTCTTGATTAAGCTGAAATTCTCTTCAAAGCTCCTAAATAATTGCATAATGTGTTTACCGGTGCATAAATCATTATTAAATTAATTATATTAGGTTTTATACCAAATATATATGTCAGATGCAGAGATTAATTTATGTAAAACTAAAATATGAAACCCAAAGCAAGTTCCAGAGTATTATGCCAAGCTTGCCTGTCAAGAAAATTACCTTTAGTGGGTCTGCCGTCTGTTAACATAATAATTAAGGAAGCACTTCTTTCAGGCAAAGAACCATTTTTGTGAGCCTCATTCAGCAGTTCAATACCGGCCATTAAGCCACCATTAAGATTTGTCCCTGGAACAAAAGTGCACAAGTTGAAAATAGACACCTCAAAGACTGACACAGAGAGATGGGGTGGGGGCTTCAACCTATTCTCCAAAGCACCTCAAGGCAGGACAAGAACTAATGGATGGAAACTTATCAAGGAGAGATCCAATCTAGAATTAAGAAGAAATTTCCTGACAGTGAGAACAATTAATCAGGGAATGACTTGTCTCCAGATGTTGTGGGTGCTCCATCACTGGAGATATTTAAGAGTAGATTAGACAGTCATTTGTCTGGAATAGTATAGGATTTTCTGCTTGAGCAGAAGATTGGACTAGAAGACCTCCAAAGCCCCTTCCAACTCTGTTATTCCATATTCTGTATTACTGTAGCTCTTCACACTTGCACTTGTATTAACATGTTTACATAATGAAAGAAAATATTTTAGCATTCTACCAGCAACTGGGCTTCCATGATAAAAATCATTGTTTTTTCCTTTCTCTGTGTGCCATATCTGTTTTTTAAAATTGTATTTCTTTTCTTCAAGCTGTTATATCTAAAGAATGAGGGCATGTCAAAGCTATGGTTGAGCTCATGCAGTATTACATCTTACAAAATCCTGCAATAGAGCATCTGCTTGGTATCTTTTATTTAAACTTTGGTTAGAATCTCAGACTGTGATAGTTCAAAAAATGTCTGTGAAACCCTGGAGAACTATTAACTCATCTAGTCAAACCTATACTCAACTCCAAGGAACAATGGTCTGATTTCATATAAGACTTTGATATACATTCACACAAAGAAATACATCAAAGATATGTGCTTTTATGTCAGGAGAAATTGGAAAATGAATGAGACTAATGGGCCAATGGCATTGGGGGTGGTGGAGCGGACAAGGAATATCAGTGTAACAAAATCAGCAATGCAATGTTGAAACACAAGGCCCCCTCTTTTTATATTTGACACAGAAAACGAAAAGGGAGTCAGTTTGTGGCATGACATTGTGGATGTCACCAGGTGGTCTATGGATGCTATTGCAACAGAGCCTTTTCCTTCAGCATCCATTATGAGGCAAAATCTTTTGCCAGGCAGACTCTCTGTGATCCTGTAAAACAGGGGTGTCAAACTCAAGGTGCTTAGATTTGGCCATGGGGCCACCCTTGAAACAGCGAAGGACCGGCCCGTGGTGCCTCTGCCAGTGAAAACGGAATTCGGGAGGGCCACGCGTGGTCCTCCCAGGCTCCATTTTCGGCCACAACGGCCTCCTGCAGCCCTCTGCCAAGGAAGGCAGGGGGAGCTCTGTTTTTGCTGACAGAGGGCTGCAAGAGATTGTCGCAGCTGGAAACAAAGCCCCAACGAGTAACATCGAGCTGGCCATGCCACCTGGCCACACCCCCTGCCTCCCCTCCCCCCCAAGGTCAAACATAACCCTGATGCGGCCCTTAATGAAATTGAGTTTGACACTCCTGCTGTAAAATATTCAGCAATGTTCGTGTCTCCATTTGTTCATTTTATATCCTTATATCATGCAGTTCTTTTAAAGACCTTGCAGTTCTTCCCACAGTGAATCTTATCAAGTTTTTATATTAATGATTCTCAACTTATCAACTTTAAGATGTGTGAACTTTAACTCCCTGCTGGCTAGAGAACTGTCAGAGTTGAAGTCCACACATCTTAAAATTACTGGTTGAGAAACACTGTTTTAGATAATATCAATTGGATTATTCATAATAAAAAGGCAGTGATTGTTGTTAGGCATCTATTTTTTAAAATGATACTCAGGATACAGATGCATAAAAATAAATAAATAATGAAAGACAGGTCAATGTTATTCTACCCCCTGACAATTTGTCCTCCCACTGTTTTCTTCCCTTGCTGGAATGTTAATGTTTATAATGTACATGCTACTCTGCAGTAAAGAAACTGCAAATACTGTTAGTTACTACAGTTAAACAAATACAGCCCATTTCCCCACAAAACATACATCCAGCTATATCAATCTGCTGAACATAACGTCTTGCTTCTGCCAAGTTCTCAGGAGTGGCTTTGATTAAGGTGTCTTTCCATTTGTGTACGTTACTCCCGAACAGTACGAAATTTATGTAGTCGTCTTCTTTTATATCTTCTAATATTTTTAGCAGTGCTTCTCTTGTCTAAAATTAAACATTAGAACAATGCTTAAAGCAAAAACCTTAACAAAGATATAGAAGTTTAACTTGGTTTCTTCCAGCAAATATTTTCATTCATACAGGAACTCAGTTTGGCTAGATACAGAGGTACAATCGACTATGGAAAAGCTGATAAACCAGGATATAGTTTATAGCTGGATTCATAACAAGAGTAGGCAGTTTGGTTCTGGAGAAATATTCTGGATTACCAGTCCCATGCTTCCTTGCTATTGGCCATGCTGATGGGGACTGATGCGGTTTAGTCCCAAGCCATTTTGGAATACCAGATTGCTTCTGAACCTTCCCGTTTGCCTGTTCTTTGTTCCTTTTCTGGAGTAGCCACTCATAGCCTGTTTGGAAGCTCTTTGTTGTAGACCTGATATATATCAAACTGCATCTACCAAACTGCATCTCTTTAATTCTGCTGCAGGCACAGGCTTTGTTAAAGTTCTAGCCATAGGAACATTAATGTCTTCATATTATTACGGATAAAAACATTTTCAAAGCCAGTAAAGGATTCCTAACTAACTAAATTCCTAACTTTCAAAGAAAGGGAAATGTGTCAATAAAGTCCAGCTTTCTCTGCACAAGGGTGGAGAGAGACTCTTTAGTTGTGTGTTCTAAAGGAAATATCATTCTCCTGAAGATCACCACAGGTCTTCTACAAGATAAATATTTTCATGACCAAAAAATCTAAAACATTAGAAGAAACAGTGAGCTGCCCAGTTCCTCTTGTTCCCTCTTAACTCCCAACAAGAATGGCCAAGAAGGTACAGATCCCAGTGGCAGACAGGAAGTCACACTCTTGCAAAAAGCCAGAAGATCTGCCACCCTCCAAAATCTCCATATCATTGATAACCTCCATATAAGAGATCTTCAGTTGGCATAAGATGCAAACATGAGTTCCATGCAAAAATGCAGTCTGACTATATAGTCTGTCTCAGCAGCAGTCAGACTGCTGCTTACCCCGTGCCTTTTCCTTTCAATCATGGCATTTGATGTGAGTTGGAGGGGATAAAAAATGGTGAAATGAGGCCATCTACTGTGTGATTGAAGTCCAGTATTAAATCACGTGGTCCTGGCCTTCATAACTGGGATGCAAGAGTGCTGGCAAAGAAAATTAGTGACGCAAACTGAGAGAACCTTTCTGCTAATTTAAGCATTAGTTGTCCTTGAAACTGACTTTTAAAATATGGAGTTACCTGTTCTAGTTTACGTCCCCTCATGGAGATGCTGACATCAATGATAAAAACAACATTCTTAGGCAAACGTAAAATATTTTTTGGTGCAAAAAAGTGTACAAAGTATCCATTGACAATCTGAAAAATAAGAAGATAAAAGTTATATGAAGTGAAGTTTTTATAAGATGCAATTAGCACACCCATTTAATTAAGTTCTGCTTACCTGTATGTTACCTGTAGCTTCTCTGTTGACATCATACTTCACAATAAAATCTCCATTCAGTAGTGTTGTGAGACAGTCTACACAGGTCCGTTGTTGATCCAGAGTTGGCTTGAAAGAAACTTTGCCCTGAAAACACAATGTATACATATGCACCCCTATAAATGCACAGACATAAGTTTATCAAATTTAACCATGCATATGCAATCTATATTCAGTGGGACTCTATAAATATGAATACCTGCTTCACAGAGAAATTGACATCTTGCATATGGCTCTTTTCCCAAGCACTGAGAGGAAGTGAGGATGGAGCCCTAGGTCTACTGATGGGTTAGGAAGCATTGATCAGGACGCTGGGATTAGTCTTGGCTTTTTGGTGATTAGTTTTATTGCTTACTTTTGTTTTAATGTGAGTCATACAGAGTTGTTACACATCAGATAAAACAATCTAAACCTTCAAAGCATGCAACAAAACTCTATGCTATGCCTTCAAATAACTGTCTAGTTCAAAGGGTCCCAAACCTTCTCTCTTCAAGGTGTCCTTAGGTGTCTCAGTAATTTTCTCACAGCACCTTGGCAATTCCCAAACTGCATCCTGGCACTACTAAAGCAACAGTCAGATAAAAGGGGCTTGTGCCCTGGTCAAAAATGCAACATAAGTAACCATTTTAGACAAGTCCTCCTTAATTCATGCTACAATAAAGGTAGAGAGGGGGGAAGTGTATTCAGACTAGTAAGTTTACTAAAGCTTTACAATAAAAATAACACTGACCTACATGGCTTTGGTTTCCTTGTCAGGTTTACTCTACTACAAGATTATTAAGTAGTAAAACAATCCCAGAGCATCCTTAAGAGTTCACAGGCACTGTGACACACAGTTTGGGAACTGTGGGCTTACTTTACATTTCCAAATTAATTATTCGTTTCTCATGTCCAATGAATATATTATTCCTTTAATATATTCCCTTAACTTCCTAGGGCCGTGATGGCGAACCTGTGTCACATGTGGCACACGGAGCCATATCAGTGGGCACGCGAGCTCAGCTCCGGCGCACATGCGTGTGCTGGCCAACTGATTTTTGGGCCTTCCTGTCCCACTGAAAGTCGGCAAATGGGCTGTTTCCAGCCTCCGGGGGTGGTGGGGGTGGGGAAGGCCGTTATTGCCCTCCCCAGGCTCCTAGAAAGCCTCTGGAGCCTGGGGAGGACAAAAAACGGGCCTACCAGGCCCACCAGGCCATTGCATGCCAAAAACCAGGGAGCGCAGTGGGGTCGCACACACATGCACAGGGGTTGGGGCACATAGAATTATGGGTGTGGGCATGTGTATGCATGACCCCCTCCCACGTGACCCCTGCTTTTGGCATGCAATGGCAAAAAGGTTAGCCATCACTGTCCTAGGGGGACCAAGAAAACATATTTTTTCTATAGTAGCCCCTGCTGTGGGGAACAGCCTTCCTCATAAAATCTGGCAGTTTTCCCTTCTTTTTCGAAGCTTTCCAGAAACCAGAAAAGAGCTGGCTCTTTCTCCAAGCACTGAGAGGAAGTGAGGATGGAGCCCTATGTCTACTGATGGGTTAGGAAGCATTGATCAGGATGCTGGGATTCATTTTGGCTTTTTGGTGGTTAGTTTTCTTTTAATGTTGTTTTATGAGTCATACAGAGTTGTTACACATCAGATGAGCAGCAGTAGGAATCCTTTAAGTAAATAAAATAAACCATTGTTGAAATTTCATATTTTGTTAGAAAAAAATAAACTCATTTTGACTAAGACTGCTGTCTAGTATACCTTTTTTCCTGAAAAAGACTTCTGTAAGACTGGTAACAAGTCATTGGTGATGAATGAACCTTCAGCTTCCAGATAACTGATGCCCTGGGGTTCAAAGATGTTGACCTCAATCTGAAATGTTAATTGGAGTCATGCTGTCACTGACAAATTCACTGACAAATTCAGGAAGAGGCCTCCAAAGAGGACCCCATACTAATGCTGGTTTCTAAATCTTTCTTTGAATCTTGAGAAGAACAGTTACTATCTGTTCTTACTATCATCTTAAGTAGCATAAATGTATAGTAATAAAAATTATAAAATGTGTACTACCACACATTTAAATGCATTCTGGAAAAAACTTACACCATCAATGTGTAATTTCAGAAGTACATTACCTCAAAGTTCTTGACAAGCTGCTTTGGGTTGACTTTTATGAACATCTCATAATAGCCAAATCTTCGTTTCAGCAGCTCCTCAAAGACCAACTCAAAAACCACTTCACTGGATGCTGCAATATTGACTGAAACAGTGAATTTTTCTGTCTTCCTCCCGGAAGCCCTAGAAAGGCCCAGTTTTTTAATTGCATACATGCCATTAAAATAAAATACATTTTAGGATATTTTTATTTAAAGGAATAATTTTAAATAGTTAAACGTCAGTGAAATTAAACAAAAAAGTCAAGTTGTGAGAAATGGAACTCCTACATACTCTCCAAAATGGTATTTTTAAAAATATATATTTATTATGTTTTATCAATGGGAATACAATACAACACAGGAAAAAAAGCCCAGAAAAAATATACATCCAACAATAACAAAAAGGAAGGAAGGAAGGAAGGAAGGAAGGAAGGAAGGAAGGAAGGAAGGAAGGAAGGAAGGAAGGAAGGAAGGAAAAGAGAGAGAGAGAGACAGAGAGAGAGAGAGAGAGAGAGAGAGAAAGAAAGAAAGAAAGAAAGAAAGAAAGAAAGATAGATAGATAGATAGATAGATAGATAGATAGATAGATAGATAGATAGATAGATAGATAGATAGATAGATGTACAAAGAAGGAAAAAGTCAAATAATCATCAAATTTTAAATATAGAAAAAACCCACCCTGGCTGGATGCTGAAATGAAAAGGGGGGAAAAAACCTGATAAATTTTCCTCCCCTTACACAATGGGTCTGCAAATAGTTGTAAACTTTCTCATCCTTTCTCATCCAAAATGGTATTTTTTGATGCTGGTATGCAGTGCAGTTGAATATGTGTGCTCCATTGAATGCACAGTCTGGACTTAGAAGTAGTATTGATCACACCTATTCTTGTCCACTAGCAATTTGCTGAAATAACTGCACAAAAGTCAACTCTTCCTCCAAGGTACTGGGTTCTGTGTACATATCCATACATTTCCCTCTCTTTTTTGTCATCCTGAAATAAATTACCAAGATTAAAAAAAAAAAAATCTCACTTTACTAGACCAGCTGTCTGTCCTCTTGAAACTGCTTGTTGATACTGTTTTTGAGCAGCTTCTTTTTCCTTTATAGTTCCTGGATATGTCACACCATCAATTGTCCTAGGAAAGGAAAAAATATTCTATACATAAAAATATTTCTGGTCTTTCTATTTTCAACACATCAAATTTCTTTATATATCCCTGTATTCTTGAGCTAGTTCAAATGAGAAACATTTCTATCGTAATTGTCTTAAGGATTAAACAATTGCAATTAAATGCAGGACAATTATGAAGAAAACACCCAATGATAATTGATGTCCTGAAAAAGGGAAGCCCTTAGGTCGGTGCTCAGGCGTGTCCTCTACAAAGACCTTAGACCAGGGGTGTCAAACTCAAGGCCCGTGGGCCAGATCTGGCCCCCAGGATGCTTAGATCTGGCCCATGGGGCTGCCCTAGAAACAGCAAAGGACTGATCCATGGTGCCTCTGCCAGCAAAAATAGGGGTCAGGAGGGCCACTTGCGTCCCTCCCAGGCTCTGATTTCAGCTGCGATGGTCTCTTCCCCAGGCTCCATTGTTGCTGGCAGAGCGCTGCAGGAGGCCATCATGGCCAAAAACAGCACCTTGACAAGTGATATTGAGCTGTCCACACCCACCCTGGTCACCCAAGGTTGAACACAACCCTGATGCAGTCCTCAATGAAATCGAGTTTGACACCCCTGCTTTAGACCATGGTCAACCACTGACATTTTTAGACAGTGCACAGAAAGAAGCAGCAGTTGGAACTTTTTTCACCACAAAATCAAGAAAAGAGATCAGTTAGACAATTGCTTATTTAAAACATTTTTTCCGATTCTCTCATTGCCAAATAGAATAAAAACGTGATCATAGTTTTATTTTTAAAAATTGAATTTGTTATTCCAAGGGAGTATCTCTTAGAGAGGTGGGGAAGTTTGTGGCCCTCCCCAAAGGTTAAACTACAGCTCACAGGGCCATGTGGACTCGGGCTACTGGGAATTGAAGTGAAATAATCTGGAGGTCACACATTAATCTTCCCTATTCTACAATAGTATGAAAGAATAATGAAATTACTACTAGACATGTAATCAGTCAGGACCTAGGAATGAACAACCAATTCCATTTGGTGGGGATACATAAAATTATCTTTTCCTCTTTTTAACACTGTGTATTTTTGTGTGTTTTGTGTGGGATTTAATGGTCTCTTTTATTGTATACTGCCCAGAATCATTTCTACAGTGAGATGGGTGGTGTATAGATTTGATAGGCAGGCAGGCAGGCAGGCAGGCAGACAGAGTAGGCTCTTTGCAAATTGAGAATAGCCAAGGTGTTGTGGTCCACCAGTGGCCAGCAGAGGTGGCACCAGATTCGGACAGTGAGGAGGTTGGGGAGGAATGTGGGCAGTGGTGGGATTCAGCCAGTTCGCACCAATTCGGGAGAACTGGTTGTTAACTTTCTGAGCAGTTTGGCAAACTGGTTGTTGGAAGAAATAATTAGGGCAGAGAACCGGTTGTTATATTACTTGAATCCCACCACTGAAAGTGGGCCAGTCCTGGAGTCTGGGGAAGACTCGGACGATGGCTCTGAGTTGGAGGCAGACAGGGGTCCAAGGCCATCTGATAATTCTTTGCTGTCTCCAGAGTCTCTGGAATCTGACATCAGCAAGGCAAAAGAACAGCATGAGCCTGTTCCCAGTGTGCGCATGCACAAAGCTGACAAGAGACAGGAACAATTAAGGAAACAGGGTCAACTTGGGAGTAAGGCTTGGAGATGATTGGCCCCTCCCATAAGACATAAAAGAGAAGCGAATGGGACGTGAGCTTTTGCAGGAAGCAATTAATTCATCTGGCTGATTCAAGAGTTGGAAATTCTGTTTGTGACTCTGTGCCGTTTGGCCTTGCCCTACGCCTGGAAATTAGCTCTTTGGCAGTGTTCCATGTGAGATAGGTGGGTGTTGATAACTTTCCTCTTAAAAACGTTTTATCAAGCCTTGCAGCCTGTAAATGAAAGTAATTTACAGCAGTATGAATTAAAGAGGTTTGCCAGGACTAAGTTTGTGCTGTTTACTTTCTAAGGAAGCCTAGATCAGAACACAAGGATGATCTATTTCCAAAACTGAGCTAGTTCACATATTTGAAAGTTAAAACTAAATTTGCACCTTTCCTCTTAATTTCTACTATAGGGCCAAATATGTTTTCACTTAGGGCAATGACTCCATTAAGGTCAAATTGAATGTCTATTCACAATTCAGTTGTTTGAGGAAATAGATTTACATACATGGTGAAGTTTGTGATGAATGCTGTCTTTGGGAGCTCCACATCAAAGAAGGCTTCCTTAGATGCATTGCCAAGGTTGATGGCTCGACTGGTGATGACATTATGAGCAAATCGAGAGGTAATATGGGAATCAATGCTCATACTATGGATATCGATGCCATCTGTGTTCTGGAAAATAAGCATTTACTTGATGAGTTAGTGAAAGACATTACTGTAACTAGTTTCAAATTGGGAAGATTGGTATAATTCAAACAGAAGTTCAGAACAAGGTTTTAACGGCACAATGAGAAGTAGAAAAAACAATAGATATGTATCCATTTTCTCAATATTTACTGATATTCAAAAAAGACTAATAGTACTACCATTAGACTTTTCATTTTATCACAACTTAAACATAATATTTGGTTAATACATGGATATAAATACTGTAGATACTTAAATGCATATACCATGTTTTCCTGACTTATTTTCTTTTGGGCCCCAAAATAAGCACTATTTATTTATTTATTTATTGGTTCAATTTATATGCCGCCCTTCTCCGGAGACTCAGAGCAGCTTACAGTGCGTTAAGCAATAGCCTTCATACTTTTGTATATACCTGCTTAGTAGGGCTTTTGGCCCCCCCTAAGCAGTGTTCTTTTTTTATACAAAGTCAGCTTATTGCCCCCACAAACCGGGTCCTCATTTTACCTACCTTGAAAGGATGGAAGGCTGAGTCAACCTTGAGCCTGGTGAGATTTGAACTTGCAGTAATTGCAGGCAGCTGGTGCTAGTTAACAGCACTTTAGTCTGCTGTGCCACCAAGGCTCTTAATTTATTTTTGAGTAAAAATGACATATACATTATACATTCTATTACATGGAAAACACTGACAGAATTCAATTGCAATATTGAAAGGACAAGATTCTAGTCTTAAGGTATGTTTACAAGATGATGCTTCAGCTCAGATAGCCAAGCTGGTATTTCGAAGGAATCTTAATTACTGTTGGGTAAGGAATCTTACAAAAGGGCACATATACATATACAACATTATTTACTAGGGCTTATCTTCAGGTAAACATGATTTCAGGGTGATCAGTCCAGCCGGGAACCCCGCCCCCTGGTACACACAAAAGAGCTGGCAAGTGCATGGGGACTGACGGTATCTGGCAGCAGCTGCAACCTGCCACTGCTTTGGTCAGTGCACTGTGGGGTTGTGCAGAGCAGAAGACACGGAGTGGAAGGCAGGGGATTTGATGGGCTATGGCTGCCGACAGGCACCATCGACCCGCATGCACTTGCTGCTTCCTATGCTGGTCATGCCCACCCTCTTCACTAGGACTTATTTTTTGGGTAGGGCTTATATTAGGTGCATGCATAAAAACTGACTGGGGCTTATTTTTAGGGTAGGGCGTATTTTCGGAGAAACACGAATATCAAGGTATTACAATCTGATCTTCGAATATATAGCAGACTCATTTTTATGGTGGATAGTTCTTACAGTATATGCAAGGTTAGTGAAAGGAAATCATGTAGAATTTTTGATATGGAGCTTGGAGCCAGTTCCAGCTTATGCATAAACTTCTCACCTAAAGCATGAAACAAAGCTCAATTTAACAGCCTTGCAAAGTGAAACTGGAAGCCATTTTGCCAATGCTTCACGGTTTTTAAACATGCAGCAACTTTCAGTATCTGCAATGTCTGGAATGAATACAAATGCAACCCAACACAGAGCGTAGTCTGTGGCTCAGCAGACTGAAAGCATTGTGATTAACACCAGCTGTCTGCAATTACTGTAAATTCGAATCTCACCAGGCTCAAGGTTGACTCAGCCTTCCATCCTTTCTAAGGTAGGTAAATTGAGGACCCAGTTTGTAGGGGCAATAAGCTGACTTTGTATAAATATAAAAAAGTATGAAGGCTATTGCTTAACGCATTGTAAGCCGCCCTGAGTCTCCGGAGAAGAACGGCATATAAATCAATTTTTTAAAAAAAAAATATATGAATACTGCAGTTCGGCTCAAAATCAGTGTAATAGGAGTTTTGGAGTTGGGTTGTTCTGAAATGCTGACAGAAAGGTTTTCCAGCACAAGGCTCATAAATAAGGAAAATACTTACAGTATCTGCAACATTTCTCTTCTGTAATGGGAAAAAAAGTAATAAAATTTTATTATTATTATTATTATTATTATTATTATTATTATTATTATTATTATTATTTTATTTATTTATTTAAAATACAGTACTATTATTATTATTCATTGTCAATCAAATTTAAATGATTAAATACATTTATGTTTTGTTAATTCTTTCTGAGGGCCCTCCATGTCTTGCATGCAGAGTCATGAGGAGGGAGAAAACCCCACTGCTATACATACCCCATTGTCCTAGCTGCAGATTGCCCTTAAAATATCAGCAGCGGCATGAAGCTCAATGCCCTGGAACATTTGGGCTTCTGGCAGGACAAAAGGCAGTGAATTTGGACATTGACATGCTATAGGACAGATGGATGAGCCAGATCGGTATCATTGTGTGGGAGAGAAGGGGGTTTTATCATTCTGCTTTGGCTATAGTCCCAATTCTAATTGCCTTTCCTTTCTAATTCCTCTGGATAAAAACCTTTATAGATATGTTTCTTTCACTACAAATATTAGGAGTGGGGCCATAACAGGTGTAGTATGACTCCAGCCCACATATATAAAGTCCAAGACCTGTATCTGCCCCAATGTCTTCCACCCCCTGTTCATTCTATTTTTTTTAATCAACTATAAAGATAAAATTATGGGTTAAAGAAGTGTAGCTTGGTCCCCAACATATAATTCTTTTCCCAACATTTAATTCCATATCCTCAACATGTAATTCTTATAATATGATTTCATGGCATTATGTAGCTTCCCTCTAAGAAACTCTAATCTGATCAAAATGAAAGATAACAATAGCACTTAGACTTATATACAGCTTCACAGTGCTTTACAGACCTCTCTAAGCAGTTTAGCAGAGTCAGCATATTGCCCCCAACAATCTGGCTTCTCATTTTTCTGACCTCGGAAGGATGGAAAGCTGAGTCAACCTTGAGCCTGGTGAGATTTGAACTGCCGAATTGCTGGCAACAGGCAGTCAGCAGAAGTAGCCTGCAGTATTGCATTCTAACCACTGCTCACCATGGCTCAATAAATATGGGAATAATGGTAGCTAAACTCTTTCCCTATAAATTAGGATTTCTGCATTCCAGAATATGAAAACACACCATTTGCCATTCTGTTTGTTTCATTAATAAATTAGCAGTTTCCTCACTTTTTTTTGTTATTGATAAGCATGTACAGATTGATCACTCCTGAATAATTGCACTGCGATGCTAAGTACCATGTAATCAAGTACAGAAGGGCAGTTCAATAAAACAATACATAAAAAGAAACTAAATATAGCCTAATATCAAACAATAGGATTGTTTGTTTATATATGGATCAATGTTTTGTTACATTGTGTGTGCTTTTGTGTGTGTGTGTATGTGTGTGTCTAATACTAAAATAGGGTAGTATTGTACAGTACAGTACATTGAAAGCTGTAGCATAAACTGTGTTTAGGATAAACTTTGGAAACGGGAAAAATTAGGTTTCTAATACTGCAATTTCAAAAATAGCAATTTACAATACCAGATTTTGCACTTTCCAGAATCCAGGAAAATAAGGAAACCTTAAACACACAATAGATCTAAATAAGCAAGGAATGGCATGAATGAGGCAATTAGTATAGCATGGCTTATATTGCCTACTTCTCCATCATATATTCAGTAAGCTCAGTTGGAATGCAAAGAAATCCTCAGAGCCCAAATCATAACTCAAACTGTCTTCATATGGATAAGAATATGATATTGGATTGGAATGGAAACCAATCAAAGAAAGAAGCAACCTAAGAACTAGGGAGAAATTTCCTGACTGTTAGAACAATTAATCATTTGGACTGACTTGCCTCCAGAAGTTGTGAGTGCTCCAACACCAGATGTTTTAAAGAAGAGATTGGACAACCATTTGTCTGAAATGGTATAGGGGTTTGGTTGGACTAAAAGACCTCCAAGGTCCTTTCCAACTGTTATTATTTTAGGATCATATATTGAATTTTCTTCATATTTGTGTGTCAGAAGGGATAAAAACATACACTTAAAACTGGAAGAAGTTGCCACTAGACACTTTTTCTAGCAGTTCAATGTCAAAACAATGCCTGCATAATTCATGTGGTTTTAATATCAATAAGTCACTGAGAGCAATTTGATACTGGTGGGGTGTAAATCTAATAAATAAATAAATAAATAAATAAATAAATAAATAAATAAATAAATAAATAAATAAATACATACATACATACATACATACATACATACATACATACATACATACCTACATACATACCTGCCTTTCTGTGCACTTACCTTGATGTTCCTGATATTATTTATTAGAAAATCAAATGATCCAACCACAGGAATTGTTGCCAGAAGAATATAAAACAGCAGTTGTCTCCCCATGATCAAAGACTAAAGCACAAGATCAGGCAGTCACTCTTGCATTGCACTCTTGCAATGACTTTGGGTGAAAGATAAATCAAAAGCTTAGACCGAAAACCAAATATTTGTCAATGTTCTGCAAATCAATTGCAAAATCTTGGAAATATATTACAATTACACAACAGGGTCAAAGATTGATCATGCAGGGAAAAGGCAGCCTGTAACCTGGCCAAAATACTCACCCATTTGCCCTTGAAAAAAAACCTAGATTAAATTGCTTTTCTTCTCTCCCAAAATTCAAGGTATTGGTGACCACCTTTAGAGCGCTCCATGGCTTAGGGCCGGGATATTTACGGGACCGCCTTCTGCCACCGAGAGCCTCCCACCGGCCAGTACGCTCCCACAGAGAGGGGCTCCTCTGGGTGCCGTCGGCCAAACAATGTCGACTGGTGGCCCCCAGGGGGAGAGCTTTCTCTGTGGGAGCACCTGCCCTCTGGAGTGAGCTCCCCCTGGAGATACGGACGATTCCAGACTTACGTACTTTCCATCGGGCCCTCAAAACCTTTTTATTCCATTAAGTCGGGCTGGCCTAATCTCTCCAATTGTGTATTTTAATTTGGATTTTTAATGGGGGATTTTAACTGTCAGGCCAAATTGTTTAATTCATTTTTAAATTGTTTTTATATTTTGTATTTGATGTTTTTTACTTCTGGCTGTTCACCTCCCTGCGTCCTTCAGGAGAAGGGCAGTATATAAATTTAAATATTAAATTAAATTAAATTCAAAATAATTACAATCAAAATAATCCCAAAATAATGCTGCAGAAAGCCAGCTGCAATGAAAGCTACTCCAAAATTGTTTATTCCCCAGAAAGCTCCAAATAGCTTGCTAAATGGCAGATTTAAGACTCAGACAGAGAGTTTTGGAAAATTGGGCTTCTGCCTTCATGTAGGACAAAGCAATAAATTAAGTAGAAAGGGTGGTGGGAAATGCTAGTAAATTTCTTGACGTATTTCTGAGATTTTCCAGGCATAGTACTTAGTGCTGTTTTCTTGTACCCTTATAATTAACATTAGAAAGAAAATGCATATCCTTTAATAAAATTGGCTTGTTGGAGAAGATGATACCAGACTCTTTCTGATGTTTTGCCACCATAGACTAACACAATTCTCAACCTACAAAATACTTCTGTCTTGTGCTCACTTATATTTCCATTTATGATCATTATTTCTGCTCTAACAAAACAGTTTGAATGATTGCCTTTGAGAATGGATTTAGCCATTGAAATAAGCTGTGGTTTTTGAATAAGCCACAGTTGCAGGATTCAATAATATCCCAAGCCATAAATTAATGTTTACAAACCACAATATAAGCCAGACCAATGAATCTGTTTCACCTCTCCTCCGATTTTGGACAGGCTCTGGCACCTTCTGTTCTCTTTCAAACTAATCTGCATCACTTGTACTGTTCCCCACTGCCATTCACACACTTTCTTCCATATGGCAGTAGCACCCCAAGCCCCACTGCACTCATGCCCAACTTCCTGGCCATCCATATACTCTCTCATTCCTGCTCCCATACAGCAGCACTTGACCTATCAGTTGATCATCTGGGACTTGCAACTTCCTACCAGTTTCCCCACTGACTTTCCTTGTTGAAAACAAACAAGAAATTGTGAGGAGTTGCTTACTTAATGACTCACAATCATCAGTTAATTACAGCAACTGTAATTAATTACAGCAACTGTAACAGTTTAATTACAGGGATTGTCATTGCTAAGTGATGTGGTCACATCAGAGGTGGATTTCAGCAGGTTCTGACCAGTTCTGGAGAACTGGTAGCAGAAATTTTGAGTAGTTCGGAGAACCGGTAGTAAAAATTCTGACTGGCCCTGCCAGTGGTGGGTTCCTCCCGGTTTGGCCCGGTTCTGCCGAGCCGGTAGCAGTGAAGATATGACATCACCGAACCAGTTCTGCCCCCCTGCCCTGCCCCCCTGCCCCCCTGCCCTGCCGCCCCCGCATTATTCTTACCTTTTATTTGGCCCCACCCCCAATCTATTACTGCCTCCTGAATCCCAGCTGATCGGCTAGAGGGAAAAAAACTGTTTAAACTCTTGCCTGGGGCTTGAAAGGGCCGCCCTACAGCTGATCAGTGTTAAAAGAAAACAAATGAGTAGACTGGTGCCTGCAAAAATAAATGGGTAGACCAGTGCCTCCAAAAACAAATGAGTAGACCGGTGCCTGCAAAAACAAATGGGTAGACCGGTGCCTCCAAAAACAAATGAGTAGACCAGTACAGTTCTGCAAGCAGTTAAAAGCCTAGTAGACCAGTACCTCTGCTAAATCCTAAAGAATTGTCACATGACCATCAAGCCATGCCCACAAAATAAGCCACACCCACAGAACTGGTAGTAAAAAAATTTAGAACCCACCCCTGGGCCCTGCCCCCATCTATTCTCTGCCTCCCAAGTCCCAACTGATCAGGAGGAAATGGAGATTTTACAGTATCCTTCCCCTGCCATGCCCACCAAGCCACGCCCACCAAGCCATGCCACCCCCACCAAACCATACCCACAGAACCGGTAGTAAAAAAGTTTGAAAACCACCACTGGGTCACATAATATTTTGCTTTATGATCACATTGTTTAGCTATGGAAATTCCAGTCCAATTGCTGTCATAACCAGAGGACTACCTGCATAATTATTTTACAGTTAAAAGAGGGCCTTTAAACAACAAGTTTGAAAGAGTAAAACTTTATCTCAAAATACAAGAAATGTTAATTAGCAGTTTAAAGAACTTAGAAAAAATATAAAACATGTGCTAAAAAGCTGAATAGGAATTTAATTTAAGAAAGTTTTAAAACGATTAAAAGACCGGACAAAACTTGAAATGTTAGGACTGTTGCTAAGATTTTGGAAAAAAAGAATAGAAATTGCTTAATCTACCAGGAAAGACAGTAATTGGCTCAAATTGAAAACAAAACAATGAAAGCTGAAATTTCATGAATGTAGAAATGGGCCAGTAGATGGGACTAAAGTTCTAAGCAGAAAAGAAAAGTGAAATCTGCAAAATGACAAATAAAGGTTTGACCCTTGAGACATTTCAAAGGATTTTTGAAGAAATATAAGAGAATCTTGCAATCAATCTGATAATGATCATCTCTGTACCAGTAAATGTTTGTTTTTTTTTTTTTTAATTGAGATGGGGGAAAGAAGTTCCCAGAGAGATTCGGTCTTATGGCAGAACTTGATGAATTAAAGCTAAGATTGTTAGACATAAAAGAAAGAAAATTAAAGTTGGCTTGTTTGATCAGAGTGAAAATATGGAATATTTTTATAAAATTCTGGAAACCCTTTATGGACTTTCTGTTAATATTTGTACAGAAATGGCAATGCTCTTCAGATTTATTAATGGATAGAGGAGGTTGCGGGAAGAAGTGAAGCATGCAAGTAATATACTACTGGGTGGGGTACTATTAATTTGCTTATACTTGTTGCAAGGAAAATTAGCAATCACTTCTTTATATATTCTTTTTTTCTACCTCTCTTCATGCTCTTCTCTTTCTTTTCTTTTTTGGAGTTTCAATTTATTCCTTTCTACTTTTTCTGATTTCAGATTTTATTATCTTTTAGCATTGTAAAACTATTTTAAAAGAAGAGAAATAGAAAAAAGAAACTAAAAAATATGATAACTATCAGATTGAACTTGGTAGAAAAAGATGTATAGACAGATAGACATACACACACAAACACAACATAAAAACAGAAGTCACCAACAAATAAATATATTGGAGACATAGATTAGAAAGACATGATATTTGAAATTGGACTTTGAAAATACATTGTAAAGATATATATAAAGAAAATAATGGGTAAAATAGAAAATCTTTTTATTTAGATCAATTTCTACAGTAGATTTTAATTTCCTTTCTATTATTTTTAAAGTAAAAATAGTCTCTTGGCCACTGAAGGGAGATGCAAACAAAATGAATTGTCCAAGTTTTCAGAGTTTTATGTCTATTGAGTCTTGATCAATCTGGTTATTGGTGGAAGAAAAAAGCAATAGTGGGATTTAAAATCTCCTCTTGCTTATCTATATAAGCAGGTTCATAGAAACAGAGCTAATGCTACAGATACTCTTTTTAGGATTTTAATTCTTATCACCAGTCCCTGAAAAACTAGGTGGTAAGAAAGAAATGAGTCTTCCCTTCCCTTCCCTTCCCTTCCCTTCCCTTCCCTTCCCTTCCCTCCTTCTCCTCCTCTCCTCTCCTCTCCCCCCTCCCCTGCCCTCCCCCTCCTCCTTCTTCTCTTTGCTTGTTGGCTGTTTTTGTTGACAGGAAGGAAAATGCATTTGCATGTGCTTTCTTGTGCCTTTACATATACACCCATGAATGTTCTGAGGTGTTTACATGTGTGAGACTGATTTGAATAGGGAAGGAAAGAGTTAATTTTAGAACCAAGATACATTATTTTATAGGCAATTTATTTTAACTGATAGCTTTAGTTCAAGTAAAGTTTTTCGGTTTGTCTTGACCATGCCTTTCTTTTGCAATGTAGCTTCTGGCAAATAGACATATTTACAGGTATGTACTGTATATGTGGAACACACAGCGATGTGTCAATTAGACATATGTGCAGGGATGGAGGATCTCCTTGATTTCAGCTAGAATCTCCTTGATTTCAGCTAGAGCTGGCAACCTTAAGGAGATATGGTGATGACTCCAAAGATGACATGTTATTTTCATCTGTATTTATATTTCTTTATATATTAATTCCCATCTCATTCTTCCTCAGCAAAGGTGCAGTTTTAAATTCATGGTTATCTTCCTTTGACAGGAGAAGTATCTGGGTATATTCAGTGATACCAAGAGATAGCAGAATCATGTAGTGCATAAAATTAAAAGTCACACAGTTCTGTAAACCTGCAGTAGATATGCTTTTGGCTAGAGCACTTGCAGAAAAACATATATGATTATGAATTAAAGCACTCTTGTGTCTATCCAGCTACCCAATAATCCTTAACAATATTAGAACCATAAGGTAAAACTGAGGTTACATGGCTATTCTTAAGGAAACTACTTTGTGTCTTTTCTGTCTCTCTCTCTCTTTTTTGCAGGCTTTGTGGGGGAAAGCATTTTAAATTATCTTATATAATATAGTATCCATTTTGATAAAACATTTACAAGAAAATGTGCAATTTTTTATTGATTGCAAATTGTAAAATTACATTTTAGAATTTATTGGGTAAAATTTAGAAAAGGTTCTTTTGGAATTATTATGCAGGAATTTGCATAATGGTCACAGGCAAATAATTATATACTATACTTTTATATCATCTAATGCAGAATCATTACATTAGTTGCCTAGAAACTCAGTCCAATACTCCTTTTTTTGAAATTTTTTATTAAACTGGCAAGATGTCATTGTTGTTACACTTATTAGAAACAATTTACCTTTATTGTTAACCCAATAAAGAAATGTAGATTGATTTGTATCACAATAATATATGTTATAATATATGTTAGTTTGAACTAAATTGAAAAAAGATATGACTTCTTAGTAAAGACAATGAAAGGCTTCCTTTTCCCTTTAAAATAAAATCAGTTATTTGAATTTAGGTTTCCATGAGGTACAAAATTTTATGGAGGTAGCAGTGTTATTCAACATGTGTGGCCATTCACTCTTATGCTCATAATGTAATTAAACTGAAAAACATGTGGCTGATTTTATGCTATTTAATAAAATTATGGACATTAAGTGGTAACAATCTTTTGCTGTTGTGTGTGTTCTTTAAGGATTTATATCCAGTTTCCAGCAGTCAACTTCAGTTTGTCTAGATCCAGTTCTATAGTCCTTCTCACGTATCCTGAAAAACAGAAAAAGAGAAGTGTTAAGTACTAGCATTATTACTGATGAAATCTATATCCAGACATAAACCTTTGGTGGCATTATAGTATTATCTGATTAGCTTATTTGCTTTGGTTATCCTAGTATCAGGTAACCATAGGGGTATCTGAATATTATTCAAGGGTTTCAAATTATATCTGACATACCATGTCTGAGGCGACTTAGCAAGAATGAAATTGGTTAGTTCATTCTGTCACATGAGTGACTCATGTGACTCATGTTATATTCTAACACTTGTGAGAATCCTCAGTAAGTCTTTAAGTAAGCCTTTTCTACAGGTCCACCCCACTTGCATTCTCAAGCCTGTGATAAAAGCCAAGTTCTAAAGAGCCAGATAATTTTTAGTCTAGAGAAAAAGGCAAGGAAAATAACCGAATAACAGAGTTGGAAGAGACTTTGGGGGTCTTCTAGTCCAACCCCCTGCTCAAGTAGGAAACCCTATAACATTAGAGACAAATGGTTGTCCAATCTTGTCTTAAAAACCTCCAGTGATGGAGCACCCACAACTTCTGGTGGCAACCCATTCCACTGTTTAATTATTCTCTCTGTCAGGAAATTTCTCCTTAGTTCTACATTGCTTCTCTCCTTGATTTGTTTCCATCCATTGCTTCTTGTCCTGCCTTCAGGTCCTTTGGAGAATAGGTTGACCCCCTTTTCTCTGTGGCAGCCTGTCAAATATTGCAACATTTCTATCATGTCACCCCTAATACTTCTTTTCATTAAAAAAAGACATAACCAATTCCAGCAACCGTTCTTCATATGTTTTAGCCTTCAGTAAAAATAGTTTATCAAGTAAGTGCTTTTTGGTTTCTCTCACCTGAAGGCTACATTGCGCTGTCCCTGTACAAAAATGTCTCTTACTTGAGTAGAAGGTCTTTCAAAACGTGTATTAGAGAAAAACTGACCTGGAAACACAAATAGACATAAACCCACAATTATAATTTTTAATGTAATAGCCTAGACATCCTAGAGGCAGATTACATGCTACTTAAATCTATCATAGTTGAAATCTATGAAATATTTTCCTATTGCTTTCCTTCACATAGTTATAATCAATGAATCATTCAGCAATTTAACTGCATCTTTTGGGATTATATTTGGACCACAGCAATCAAAAGCTACAACCTAAAGTTCAGACCACTTTCATTGTGCTTTTTCAAATAACTCTTACACTTATCAGTTATGAACATTTCTGGAATTTTGATGCACTATTGTGTTACTAGTTAATTGTGAAAATACTTTTCCATTCAGAAATCTTCATCCATTGCTAGAGATGTATATTATTCTCCAAGGCTGATAATAATAATAATAATAATAATAATAATAATAATAATAATAATAATAATAATAATAATAATAATAAAAAATTTTATTGGTATTACTGTACCAGAGTCGAAGAAAAAGAACTAGAAAAAAATCACAAAATATCACGACCTGGCCATTGAAACTACACAGCTATGGATGAAACATATAACAGTGATACCCATTGTCATCGGGGCACTTGGTATCATGTCTAAGAATTTTACAACACATATCAAGAAATTGCAGCTTCCTGCAATAACACCAGCGGAACTGCAAAAAACTGTGCTACTCGGAACATCGTATATTTTAAGGAGATACTTGGTTGATACCTAGGATGCTGACAGCAACCCGTATCAACCATCACCAGTCAATGGTATTTGTGATATGTTTTTAAATGATCGTTTGACTGAGTTTTATGTTTAATGAACAAAAGAGATAATAATAATAATAACCTTTATTGTCATTGTACATATATACAACGAAATTGATTTAGCCTCTACTGGTGCAATCCATATCAAAAACACAAGACAACATGAATAATATAGAAAATGGTCCTTATACAAGTAATTAGAGAGAAACCAGTCATATGTTTCTATAAATCAGTGCAGGGAACAGATTTGGCTTTATCCTCCACGACACAACTCTCACATTTAAATGAGACAGTCTAGCAAGTAGCTTGCAATCAAGTCCTTTCGCTTCGGTGCTGGTACTTAATTGCAGTTTGGGGTAGAACCCCAACTTCTATTTGAGATGTGAATTCAGATCTTGATATGAAAATGCAAATCTCTCATTAATTCAGAGACATGCATGGGATGAGCAAATGGCAAAAGCAGTATTGCACTATCGCAATGCAGACTCCACAGCATATATGTATGTGTGGTATCACATGCATATATGTTATGAATCATGATAACATGATACTGCTTTCACCATTTTGATAAAGCCTTCAATACATATGCTTGGACTGTGATTGGAAATCAATAAATGGCTTTAATTTTCTCATTTAAAAAAAAATTGGAAGGCTGCTAGTTCCTTATTACAGAATAAACCTTGCCAAATTTTTCATAAGAAAAAAAATTGTCGTAATTTCTGTTATAGGCAACAAGCATGTTTATTTACTTTATTCCAAATTTAAGAGGAATTATGTATTTCCTTCCTCTTCCATTTATTGATTGCTTGCCAATTTGAATAAAAATAACAAAAATTATTGATATTTTTCCAGGCAAGAAACATGGAATAATTCAAGTGCCAAGAGCAGGGAGAATGATTAATTACAAGCAGTACAAGACATGTTTGTTCTCTGCTCAGTTGGGACCAAACTCACAGAGGGCACCAAAGGAAGGAGTAAATGATTGAAGAGCATAAAACAATTGCAGAAGAACCTGAACATCCACAGAGTTCAACAAGTATGTTGTATTTTATCCTCCAGACTCCAACACACACCATTTTGTAAACCTGGGAGGCAATTTCCAATAGGCACTAGGATTGGCTCTGATTTATTACATCAATATCTTTGTTACAAAAGACTGTTGATCAGGAAGCCTTGATTTAAATAAACAATGTAAATAGAGACAGAGTTGCAAAACCATCAGATATATTTCTTCACATGAGAAATGAAAAAGGAAATGATTCAATCCCCTTTTTCCTCACCCCAAAGAAATATATGCTTCTATAGACACAATCTTGGTACACGTCTAACTCAGGGATGGGCTTCAAAAATTTTAGCAAGGGGTTCTCTGCTCGGTTGCTAGGTAGGCATGGCCATGGTGGGTGTGGCCTAGTCGGCCTCCTGCACCACAGGGGGGGGACTTTTGCCCTCCCCGGGCTCCAGAGGCTTTTCTTGAGCCTCCAGGAGGGCACAAACGGCCTCCCCAGGCTCCGGAGGCCCTCTGTAGGCTGGAAATGGGCCTGTTTCGGGCCTTCTTGAACTTCCGGTAGGCCTGTTTTTCACCCTCCCTGAGCCTCTGCATGCACCCTGCACTTACCTGTGGGGACTCCTGGGAGGGGAGGAGTGGGTGGGGTGGGGTGGGGTGGGGCCAGCCAGGAGTAGGATTTGGGAATTCTCCAAACTGCACAGAATCTTAGCTAGAGGTTCTCCCAAACCCCAGCAGCCCACACCTGGTCTGACTTCACTAGAAAGGGGTTTGGAGAGATTTCATACTGACTCCACTCTGATATGAATATCTCTCAGACTTATCAAAGGCCATTTCCATATGATTAATTTCCACTCTCCCAATCCTCAGTTTAGAAGGTGATTATATTTTTTGCTACTGACTTGGAATGCTGAGAACAAGGTATGAAGCTCACCAGCACCCAAAAGCAGTTCCCTATTGCTGAGAAGAAAACCATAAGGCTATCTATGTTCGTGAAATCACTAGGAGTCAAATTTGATTCAAGGGCAAATTTATCTTTCTCATGTTAATGTACCTCAAAGGATTATCGCAAAGACTAGCAAGATAACATGGATAAAGTGCTTTGTGGATACTATATATTGAAAAGCCAAATTTAATTCCAAATTGTATTACCATAGTCTGCAGCAGTAGTTAAATACATACCGAAAAGTCCATTAACTTGATTAGAAAAAGAATTGTTATTCTCAAAGTACAATCCAAGCCAACCAAATGGAGGAGGTACATAGAAAAATTTGGTTACAATGTTGTCTGGTCCTGACAGAAATAGACTTTCTTCACTTGTCAGTGTAATGTTTATCCTAAGAGGAAACAAATTATTATTTTCTAATATTCCTTTGACAACTTGTCATGCTGATATGGTAATTTATTATCACTCGAATTACTTTATTGACAAACACAATTTTAATAAATCAAATTTAAATGAATATTTTCACATTTTTTATTATTATATATCCCTTATGTATGTACCTGAAGTAATTTATATAGAATGTTTCAGCACAATGGCCTTACAGAAAATAGAAAATGCCTATTCAAGCAACACCTCAAAGGTAGTTTTTAACTGCTGATCCTCCACTGATGGAAGGCTAGTACATCTAGTCATCTAGTACAACAGAAAGGGAGTGATTTGTTTTTTAAATTTCTTCTTTGTTTTCAAACCTACATCTCATGCTTTTATTAAGGGGTCTTTAATTACTTTATCTAGATTTATGGCTGTAGGGAGAAGCCAAATGCTGAACTGTTTTCCCCATATGTTTGGTGGATATTTGCCATTGGATTTAAATCAAATAACTATCCATCAGCCCTTTTCTTTAAAAAAAAAAAAAGAGCAATCAATAATGACACTATAGAAGTCAACATGAAATAATTACATAGGTAAAGCTGACTTAGAAACAATGAAAGAGACATCAGAGTTGTATATGATTTGCCTTTATCAATTTGGAACTGTTTCCAGATACCAGTTTAGGATTTCCATTGTCTCCTTCTGATTAATTTCATGTGGGTATCAAAAGCCATTCACACAAATTTAAATCTAGAAGAACCACAGATGGAAGATGATAGAGCAGTAAATTCCAAGTACAGCCTTCTGGATATATAGTAGACTTAACCAGGATGTTGTATTAACACTGACAGTATGATCACAATCTTTGAAAGCTGATAATATATCAGAAGGATTAATACTATTGCTGTATTTCTGTCTCTTTCATGACCATACATCAAATTACCAAAGACAGTTTCAGTCCCTACTAAGAGCAAAAATCAAATTGTAAAGAAACTGATAATTAAAATACTACTAAATGAGCAACCTAAGGCTTTCCCGTATCAGTTTAACAACCAAAAAATCAGATACGGAATAATTTTTTTCCATATTAATTTGGTTTTATCTAAGTAAATTACAACCACCACCTCTTTCTAAGGAAAAAGGGACTAAAGGGTGCAACTTGGAAGTGTTAATCAGATTGGCTTTCAAACTGACTCCAGCCAGTATGGACACCATCTAAACAATGGACCTCAAATCTCCAAATAATTTATCTATATTCTCAAACTGTAAAAGCTCAAATATATCAATAACAAACTGACTAAATGCAGTACTGGCTACATTAATATTTAACTCTATCTTAATGAAGATGTGCAAATTAGATGTGAGAAAACCCAAATCAATATTATTAACATTGCAGCCTGATAGGCAAGGATTTTCATTTTATGTACGCTGTCTCTGGGAATAAGAAAGAACACCTTTCAGTCTGACAGATTATGCAAAAAGAGACTGTTTTAGGGATTGGAGAGCTCTATTATCTATAAAAGAAAAGTAAAAATAGCAAATTTACCCTTCAATTGTTAAAGAGTCTCTGTCATTCCACACAAAAGAGTGACTGGAGCCATTATTTTTCAGTGTAATTTTTTCTGTTGTCACCTTTATTTCCAGGTTAAGCCTCGAATAAATTATTTCAAACTCTGTAAAATGGTTGTTTTCACCAAGCTTGCCAGTCACTTGGATCCCTGGAAGTATGTAAAGGAACATTCAGGAAACATATTAGTGTTTGCCTAACATTCATTAGTACAGAAATAATTTCCATATAAACACAATGAGTAAAAACATCTGAATCTCACAAGATTGCTCTTTACTTAATCTGATTGCCAATTCAGTTGGCTGCAGTGCACTACCCTGCTCTATTTATTTAGACTCAAAGCTAAAATGAGTTTAGCCCATTTAGGATTTAAATGGGAGGCTGCCACAAAACCCCAAGATTACTGGCTAGACATAGAAGCTTTCTACATCTACATCTATTTCTAGTATATCTACATCTATCTCCTGGAAGAATATATGAGAACATGTCCATGAATTTCATCAGCACTCAAGCTTAATTTGAAGATGGCTTCGTTACACTACACAAATAATTACAACATCTGTTTTTGTCCAGATAGCCAACCTTTCAGTCAAGCAATCCATCATGCCAATGCTGCTAAATATTTTTTACATCTGCATAGCAGATATAAGACAAGACAATCAATAAAGAGTTGATAGAAATCCCCAACATTTAAAATAAATATTACAAATAACCAGTGAATTTGGGAACTAAGAAAAGTCAGCACACCCTCACATGCATATTTGAATCTGCAACATGTTACAGTGCATTTGTCTGAAATGAGATGAAAAGTACAGTCAACAAAAACAAGGATCAGAAAAAAAGAATAGTTGGGGTTTTTTTTAGGCTGTCATAAGGAAAACATCCCCATAGAACTTTGAATATTCAGAGCTACACAATTTTTTATGGAAATCACATACCTTTCTCTGGATCAGATAACAGATTTAAGGATGTTCGTGGCTGTCCGTTAATAGATAAACAAACTAATTTTTTTTCATTAGGTGGTTGAAAAAGGAAATGGATATTTGAAGTCCTAGGAAGAACTGGAAAGAAAAGTAATTATTAGTATGTATTTTATACTGACTCATGGAATCGTCCAAGATCCCTAATATCTTAGCTTAGTTTTATGGCTGATGAAATTCAGGTAATTATAATTAGTGTGAACAGAAGGCTGCAAAAGTTTACAAAATGTTAATTAATAGAACTGACAAATTCTTCATGGGGATTTTTTGTTTGAACAAATTTCTAAGCACAGCACCTTGAAAGCAATCTCACAAGTTTTTACTCAATAACAAAGTAAAATAAGGAGCTGGCATGGTCCACTTAGGCTACAGTAGCCATATGACCTTTATTTCAGAAAGCTGTCCTTTAGATTTATACAATTTAATGGTTTATTTCTTGACCTGGCTCTTGCATATTCCTTTGTAAATCATATAAATAAAAACAGTTTTAAATCCTTATGAACCTCTTTCAGATTTGCTCCCTTTTCAGGTTTGCCCTGTTTTCTGATCAAGGAAATATGATAATTGTAACTTAAACCCATGTTGCACTTATGGAGTGAAAACATATGAAGAAGTAAATTGCAGCTTCAATTGTTTTCCCTCTGATGTTTTGCTGCAATAGATTAAATATACCATTTGAGGTGCTTTAAAAGGACATTCAGAATCACCTTATTGGTGAGAGGGATGGCATATAAATTTAATAAATAATAATAATAATAATAATAATAATAATAATAATAATAATAATAATAATATGGTTTTTCCACTCTAATATTATTCTTATAATAATAGTGTCTATCTTCTTTCAGATTAACGAAGTCCAGATTCCTTGCTTGTTTCACCACCACCACCACCACCACCACCACCACCACCAACACCACCAACACCACCACCATACAGAATGGAGAGATTACTTAAACAGAAGGGAAAGGGTGGAAAAATAAGATCTCTTTATACAATCTCTCCTGTGCCTGACCTCTTTTCTTGTACTTCACCAGCCACCTCCCCTCACAGAATGAGGAGATTAGAGAAGAAGAGATTTCAAAAGAGTAAGCAACACACAATGGGGAATACAGTGGCTATTTGCATGATGTGCTTGGGGCTGCTGGCTTCCCCATTCTGTGCCTATTTATTCTTTTGTAATCCCTTCCTCTTTAATGAATGTTGATACAAGCAATGTTTTCCTTCTTGCTAATTATCCCAGCATTGGGGTTCTTTTGTAATCCCTTCCTCTCTAATGAATGTAAATACAAACATTGTTTCCTTTCTTGCTAATTATCCCAGTATTGGGGTGATCATTCCAAAGGGGAGGGAACTGCCTGGGAGGCAAACAAAAGCCAAAGGTGTGAAGGTGATTAGTTTTGTCAATTACAGGCAGCAGCTGCCATCCAGCACCATCCAGCACCAAGGTGGGCATTCCAAAGAGAGAGGGAGTAGGGAAAAGGAAAGCACAGTTGTAGTTCTCATCCAGTAAATATTTTACTTAACGGCAGAGCTGTCTGCCCCAACTGTGGTCAAATGAGGACTACTTATAGTTACTGTTTAATTTTACACATACTACTTGGGAAAGGCAATTTATTAGCTTGATTTAATGCCAAGGAGCTCTTAAACCAGCATTTCTCAGACTCAGGAACTTTAAGATGTGTTGACCAACTCCATGCTGGATGGAGAACTCTGGGAATTGAAGTCCACGCATCTTAAAGTTTCAGAAATTGAGAAACTATGAGTCAAGATTCAGAGGTAGTGGATATTGCAAGCTATTTCTAAATTGGCAGTCGAGTTCAGACTTTTGAGTATCACTAATGCTAAACTGGTTTTGTTCTGCTTCTTTTTCCTTTCAACTTCCCAGACAATTTTATATTAGTTCAATTATTATTTATGTAATACCATTCTACCGCATAGCTCCCAGCAACCAGTAAGATCCCATAGAGTTGGTCTCTTCTGGGTCCCCTGAGGTAAACAATACCGGCTGGCAGGCCTGCGGGGGAGGGCCTTCTCTGTGGCTGCCCCAGCTCTCTGGAACCAGTTACCTCCTGAGATCTGGACCATCCCCACCCTATTGGCCTTCCAAAAAGCGGTGAAGACCTGGCTTTTCCGGCAGGCCTGGGGCCGTTGATCTCACTGTTGCGATCTGGCGAGATCCGGCCATGAATGGTGTGAATGGGTTTTAATTGTTTTTAATGTTTTAATTTTTAATGTTTTTATATATGGTTTTTAAATGCATTGTAAGCCGCCTTGAGTCTTTGAAAAAAGATGGCATACAAGTTTAACAAATAAATAAATAAATAAATTCTTTCAAAATTTTTATGCTAGCATGTCTATTTAATTTATAAAATGACTGAATGTACAGTATATTAAAAGGTTGATCAAAATTTTGTAATTTGCCTTAATAAGAATACAAAGCATGTTTGAACTGGTCAAAAGTCTCTATCTGCATAGTAGAACCGTTGATACCTATTGATAATGTATCAATCTATTTTTGCATATGGGCAATCCACTGACACTGACCATGAGTTCCTGACTTTGAGTCTGTGCTGAAATGTACTTTCTTTCTTGACTTCTGTGTTGGCTTCCTTGCATAGCTCCCTGAGATAGGACGACCTGCAGAAGTGTACGTGTTAGTGAAGCTCACTAGTTTTTCTCTTTTACTTTGATCTGATATACAGAATCTGATATATATCATAGCATTTCATTATCGAAAACAAAAATTATATTTTTTCTTACCCAAACCTAATCTCAAGATAAGAAGATAAATTAAGAATCCTCTTCACCTACCACAAATACATTTACACACAGAGAGATACACACAAACACAGATATAATATAATATAATATTAATAAGTGTGTGTTTCCCACAAATTTGCATGGATACACATAGAAACAAAGTACTAAAATCAAATTAAGGCTTGGTAATCCTTGCTTACTGACTTCCTTGTTCAGCAACCATGGGAAGTTACAGTGGTGCTGAAAAAATAATATTACAAACAATCCCCACATTAAAAACGTTCGAAGCGTGAAAGTGAAAGTTAACTTCATTAAAGCTGTTAACACCCAGCATTGTTCAAGGTGGTTGGATAAAAAAAATGGCTGGCTTTTCTGAAAGTGATGAAGGCTCACTATTACAAACATCAGTAAATACACAAATACTGATTGTGGATCTCTTTAAAGAAATTTTAGAATCATTTACCTCCGTGTTAGTGGAAAGAATGGAAGGGTTTTTCAAGAAGGATTTTACTCAAGTTTGAAACAAAGATACAAGTGAAGATACTGTATCGGTATTTCAGTTGCCAAATAATAGTGAGTTGCTGAATGAAGAGGTGGAAGAAACAATCCAGTTTAATGTGCCTTTGGAAAATGGAATGGATGTTTTTCAAATTAAGAAGGAAAGGCTGAAAGGTTTGAAGGAGCATAACCAGGAAATATTGAGAGAGATTTTTCCAGAGACTTTGATACAGTCAACTGGAAAATTGTCAGGAGGCGTTGGGATCTCTAATATAAGAAGGAGGACTCAAAGTGGAATTTTACAACTTTTTTTTACAAAAATGGACTTTCAATCGCAGTTAAAGAGGTGTGTTTACTGAAAGGAACTACTTTGCGAAGAGAACAATATTGTAAGGTACAGCAACTTCAGTTGAAAATTCAAGAATTTATAAAAAGAAAAGAAGGCGGAGGAATAAGACTGAAGAAGAAGGTTCACAAAAAAGTCAGGAAAAAATGGATATGGAAAAATTACAATCCTTTTGCTTGGGGAGGATAATAATAGTGAAAATGAATGACTATATCTGTATTTAGGGATATGATTTGTTTTGAAAAGTTATATTATAGTGAAAATGAATGATTTACTTATATTTAGGGACATGATTTGTCTTGAAAAGTTATATTAAGTAATGTTATGTTTGAATTGTTATGGGCCACTGACCAAACTTTCACTTTTGTCTTGAAGTATATTAATACTAAAGTTATATTTCAAGGAATGCTTTGTTGAAGAATTTATATAAGCTTATGGGTTAAAAAAAAGAAAGAAAAATATTGGGGACGTAAAAGTTATGGACAGTGCAGATTATTTAATATAAGTTTATGGGTTAGAAGAAGGATACTTAAACTTTTATACTTTGTTTTAAATTACATTAATACTATATTAAAGAATGTTTTGTTGAAGAATAAATATAAACTTGTGGGTTATAAAGAAAATATAAGTGGTGCAAGGGTTGAGGGAAGGTTTTTACAATATTTTTTATAGATATTAAATAGTAAAGATGTTATTTGATTATACGCAGTGGATTTATTGTAGAGAATAAGATGAATAGGTTTATGCAAAGCTATTAAGTAAGGAATGTTTCCAGGAAGAATCAATATAAGTTTATGGGGTAAAAAGTAAAAATAATGTTTTTACAATATATTTTATTTGAGATTGGTTAAAATATTTTGTTAATGTGTTAATATATGTAAGGGTTGGAGATGTGATGGTTAATTGTAATTGGGCTCTGATTGTGTAATGCTGGAAGAAAGAAGACTTGCTTATTATTGAAGAACGGACAAGAACGAAGTTGGATTGATTACTTTCAAGCAATAATTGGTTTAAATAGTTATATTCAGATATGAACAAGGGGAGTTAAAGTGCAAAAGGAAGATAAATCTATAGATAGTTAGCTTATGTTTTTTTTTTTATATGTTTGTTAAATGCTATACCCTGTATTTGCTCTGGGAAGTCCGGGGAGGGGACGGTTGGGGCAGGAGGAGGGAGGAGGGAAGGGAAAATATGTGTAAATTTTTTAAAAACTTTTCAATAAAAAAACAAAACAAAAAAAAATGTTCGCAGCATCCCTCAGTCATAGGATCACTATTATAGTCAGTATGTGTTGTCCTGTGCCTCATCTGTGTTTTTTCCTTCCTTGCAGAATAGAGAGATTGGAGAGGATGGAATTGTAAGAGAGTAATCAGGCACACAATGGGGAATACACAATGAAAGCAATGCGTACTTCGCTAAATTCCCCATTGTGTGCCTGCTTACTCTCTTGTAAAGATAGTCCTTGACTTATTATCATAATTAAACTCACATTTTTGGTCATTAAGTTATGATGGTGTTGAGAAGGTCACCAGATGACCACTCCCAATTTACAGCAGTTGCTAAGCAAATGCTGCAGTTGTAAAGCAAATTCTATGTTTGTTAAGCGAACTCATAGTTTAGTATAGGGCGTATTTTTGTTGGAAACTGAAAGTAAATACCAGTTTCTGGCAAAAACATCATAAATCGTAATCACATGACCGCTGGGTACTGCAAACAGTTGTAAAGGTAGGCCAGTTGCCAAGCACCCAAAATTCAGTCACTTGACCAAGGAGGGTCAGCCATCATAACTTTGAATATGGCCCATATTCAAAGGGACTTAAGACCCATATTATATGGGTCATAAGTCCCTTTGGGGGGCTTCATCCTAACTTTGAACAGTAGCTATGTGAATTGTTGTGAGTCAAAGGCTAGCTGTAATCCCTTCTACTCCGATATCCCTGCTCTGAGGGGGATGAGGAACAGATCAAGCATAGGAGAGATTGCCTAGAGAAGTTGCAGGGCAGGAAAGGATCCCAAGAAAACAAGCAGGCATACAATGTGGAATACATTGGATTGTTTTCATAGCATGCTCATAACTCACAGGCCTGAGAGATACTGCATTTATTTTGATATGTATTCCCCATTGAATGCCTACTTACTCCCTTGTATTCCCTTCATTTCCAATGAGTTAAATACAAATATTTATTGCCATCTTGCTAATTATCCTAGTACCCAACTGGGGTGAGATTCCAAAGGGCAGGAGAGTGGAGAAAAGGAAAGCATAGTCACAGGGACATTATTTTACACTTGGCAACCAGTTGTGTGTAGGAATCCAGAACAGAATCAAAGGCAGAGTGGTATCAGGCTGTGTCAATGCTTCTCCAGCCAGGCTGCAAGACATTCAGATTACCATCAGATGGCAGAAACGATTTAGTGTTTTCTGAACCCCTTTTCTGCCACCTAGAGATCAAACTGATTATCATCTATTGAGACTGACTGTTTATTCACTGCCAGGTCCTTTCTGTTCTAGCATAAGATTTCATGCCACCCAAAGCAAATGCTTAGGCTCTTCTCAAGTTGCATACTGGGCCTGCATCAGACAACAACTAGATTTTTGTTAATGATTGGGGACACTCCAATTGAATTAAGGCACTCTTGAGACTATTTAGGAACTATTTACCTGTTAACAAAGAAATACTGTAGTCTATGGAATACACAGATTGGCCATGTCGAAGGCAGTCACAGTTATTCAAAGTTGTTTCAGAAGACAGGACAAAAAACAATGGAGGTGGATTAGGTTAGTTTAAATCAGATTTAACCCCAAGTGACTTGGAGTCAGAGTTTCTCAAGCACTTCTATTTTGCATAAAAATTTTGGAGGTGAGGTGAGCGGCCGGGAAGCCAGGCAAGTAGCTGGGCGAGGTGAGGCCCCCCTCAATGTTAGTGATGTTGAGTTGGCCATGCCCACCCAATCACATGACCACTCAGCCACACCTACTCAGCCGTCATTGGGGCAGAGAACCAGTTGTTAAATTATTTGAATCCTACCACTGAATAAGTTCCAGTTAGGATGATTTATTGCTCATGCCTATACACAAGATTCTAGTTAACTAGTGATCAGCACTAAATTAGTCCTAGGTAAGAGTTAATGGAATTCAGGGGGGGGGGAGACTTGATTCTTTTGTGAGAACATAATAATTCCAGACTGATTCCTCTCTTGAATCCACCCCCTAGGCTCTGCCTCTTCTTTGCCTACATCAGGAGACTAGAATATCCTTCACAAGCCTTCCATTGGTAGTATGGTCATATATCAGAAGTATTGTCTAAACAATGATTATAGGACAGAAGTAAGGGAGGAAAATGAAATTATGTTTGGATGTTGTAAAAACTGGAACAATTATTTATTTATTAAATTTATATGTTGCCCTTCTTGCCAATCAGGTTTCCAAATGGAAGTCTATATCTTTATCTATATCTATACTTATATCTATATCTATATCTATATCTATATCTATATCTATCTATATCATCTATATCTATACCTATACCTACAGCATAATATACATTACCAACACATGAGCATTTGTAACCTATAAAAATAATATTTATAGAATACTTTCGTATCACCATTGTTTTGTTTGTTACGAAAAAGTAACTTGTGTTGAAAAACCAAAGCTTTGCATTTTATTTTGGATATTTCAAAACATACATTAAGAAAAGGGTAGGTTTCTTACTGGAATAACTTTTTGGACTTTATTACAGATCAGAGAGGATGACACGGACAGCCCACTTCTCAATGGGAAGTGGGCACCCTACAGGCAATAGGGTGATCAAACTAACAGATTGTTCAGTAATCTTTGTTAGATTTTTAGATGATAAAATACCTGGGAAAGCAGCTGAACGCACCACAGATTCATCAGGAGCACTAAGCCTGGCACTTGTAAGAAAATGCCCTGGCATACCTATGAAAGAATTCTGAAGTTAGGTAGGTTTTATTATGGGAAAAAAATGTCAGAAATAAATACTGGCACTATATTTCTAGAATATAAAACATACCGTGGGATTGCTGTCTAAGCAAAAGTGGACTTCCAGCAAATCCTGGGAAATTTTCCTGGAAACCCTCATTATCTGGGCAAAGAAACAATGACAGAAATAATATCAACTTTACTAAAAAGGGGCTTCCATCATTTTCTAGATTCTCAACTCTCAAAACTGTCCCCTTGGGCTAGGAAAGAGAATGTGCTCACCCATCTCTGAGATTATTTAAATTGAAAGATTACAAGTGTTTTGAAGTAGACCTGACAGAAGTTAGATCCTCCTGCTTTAATGGGAAACTCGTTATTATTCAAATTATTTATTTATTTATTTTGTATCCCGTTTTATACAAATAATTCAAGCTGGTGAACATATCCAACACACTTTCCTCCTCCTATTTTTCCCACAGCAACAATCCTGTGAGGCAGGTTGGCTGAGAGAAAATGATTGGCCCAACTTCACCTAGCTGGCTTTCATTGGCTAAAGTGGGACTTGAACTCACATTCTCCTGCTTTCTAGCCTTGTGCCTTAATTACCAGAACAAACTGAATCTCATCATTTTACTAGTTCACCAAATCATTTGCAATCTAATTCAGAATTCTGAATCACCAAATTCCATCAAGAGACTCCATAACACTAAGAGCTACAATCACAATCACAACATATAATCTGTTCCTGTATTATTTATAGAACATAACCTAAGAATTTAGGAATAACTATAGTAGCAAGACATGCAATGAAAATAACAAAGCTTTAAGTTATAATCTTTTGGTTTCCATTGTATTTATTAGTCCTATTTTATAAAAAAAAATAATACAATATACTTAGTTTAAAAAGAGAATGGATAGAACACAGTTCAGTTTAATACTGAAATAATCTAATATGTGAATCAATATTAAGGGAAAAATATATTTATCTCTACATGCTTACAGTATGCTTTTAGAAAATCTAAAGAAAATGCAATTTATATATACTAAAACTGTAGTATAGAAAATAGCTTGATATATTACTGATTATATTATTGAGTAAAGAAGGAATAGGATTAGGTTTTTTTAAAAAAATGTTGCTAAAATCCTCAAAGAAAATAAAAATAATGCTAGAAAATCTCAATCCTGTTTCATGGTAATCAATTAACACTTGAAATATATATACTGTATTCAGAGTGAACATCAATGATACCAGGGGTGAATTCTACTTACCTTTACTACTGGTTCGCAGCCGGGCCGAGCACATGCGCGAGCCAAGCAAGTGCGCATGCTCTTCTGTGCAAGCACAGAAGCTTCTGTGCATGTGCAGAAGCATTTTGATGATGTCGGGGTTGGTGGGCAGAGCCTCCCACCGGTTTTACTACCGGTTCTATAGAACCATTGTGAACCGGGGGCAACCCACCACTGAATGATACCATACCTATGCTCTCTCATGCCATATTGCTATTCACACATATGATTATTGCTTTTTGTAATCACACACATGATTATTGTTTTTATTTCAGAATCGTAAATTCATCCTGGCAGCACTTACAGATATCCTCAGAAATATTGTCCCAGTCATTCTTCCAGCAGCTGATTGAAATTCAGAAGACAATGGAATGGCCAGCAATCTATTAGAATGCTTATACTGTACATAGAAATAAATATGTGGGTTTTTACCTTGTTCTGTTGGCTTGTTAGCCACCTCTTCAGCTTCTGGCTTAGTGACCACCATGGAAGTCATGGGTGTTACAAAGCTGTACTTCAGAGAGAGGTTCAATGCTTGGTTTTCCAGGTTTTTTTTCTCTGCTCCTTCCGCCAAAACGCTAAAACACAGAGCATAATTTCCACTGGTTCTATATGTGATTCAGGAATTTTTAAATATAAAATTAACATGCTTCAGAAGTTTTAAGATGTAGTTTGGAATTTTCATATTCTTTCACTGACACACAAAGTGAAACCAACTGAAGGACAGAATAGACTAGGAATGAACCAAGAATGAACAGCAGAACCAAAGAAAAACATTGTGGCTTTGTGAACTCAAGCTACTATATTCAATATTCTCAATAATATTGAGAAGAAAGTATTTCCTTCAAATTACCGTCCCCCCCCCCAAATATGCAAAGATAGCCACTTACAACTTTTCTAATTGCTGTTGAATGGTTAAATAGGCCCATAATTTTTCAATGAAATTTCCAAATATGTATTCCTGGTGTTCAAAAACTTGTGCTTTCTCTGTGACATTAGCATTTTCTTTCAGGGTCAAATTGCTTCCATGCTGAAAAATGAGAGAAGGGATCAGGGTGAGTTTTTGATATAATAATCAAGTTCTATTCTGCAGAACATATTTGAAAAGAGTCCTTTCAGTTTACTACCTTCAAGGAAACAAAGATTATCAACATTAAAATTAAAGCACTCAAAATGGTGAATTGGATGGTCAAAATATTGAATTCATTGGGCACATTTGCACAGCACGATGAAGCAAAATCTGGTTTAACCTGAAAATGATCCTAACAGCTGTTACACTTGTTGAACTACAATCCTTTCATTCATAGTTTAAGATTTCTATATAATCCAATATGTAGGGCAGCAGCTTCACCTGTGTCTTCTGTACACATATATATTCCATTTTGTATTTTTAAAACACTTTGAAAGTAACACATTGTTACTAGTTTGGAAACATAGCTCAGAATTTCATCTGAAACAAAACTCTTGTACCTTTTCAACTAATAGTAGTTACATAGTACTTACCCCCTGAGCTTTTATTTCCAAGGAAAATATATCAATTTCATTGTCAAGTTTTCCAGCCACTACAATTTCAGAACCCTCATAGAGCAACTTAAAGTTATTCTCAGTGACATCCTCTACAGCATTGCCAAGATAATTTATATTAATCTCCTTCAGGATGGGAATAGCCACTTCACTATAAAAGTCCTTAAATGAAGAAAGAGAAAACCAGGGGAAATCAATGCATATTTCAGTCAAGAAAATTAAGATTATTGTTAGCATGCTACTGATGTACATCAAAAGATACTGATAAGCTTTTGAACATCAGTCCTTACCTGGAGCTGAAGGGCTGCATCTGAGTCCTCATATATACGTCGAGCAACTCCCGAATTATCTAAGGCCAACTTCTCCAGAAAACTATAGCTTAAGTCAAATCCAAAGCCAAGGCAGTAGAGGAAATACTTCCCTTGATTGGCTTGATTTATGTTTTTCTTTATTTTCTTAGGGCTTGTTTCACCTGTTATATGGATGGACATGCACAAATATCTGGATTACTTTGTTTTAAATTGTTTATTGTATTTGCTGACTTTTCTACTTTATCAGCATTAGCTGTCTTGAGTGCCATTTTCTGCTGAGAAGACAGGATGTGAACATGGGATGTGTGTACATGGCAGAGTACCTCATGTGTCACTGAACCAAGATAAAGGATTAAGAGAGAATAAAGGGCATGTGAGAATAATAGCATAAGCAATAGAATATGACTGCTACAAAATTCCGAAGTGTTATTATCACATAAACCAAACACAGCAATCCACAATTTCTGTGGATTAGAGATGTGATTTCTGAAATATTTAAGGTTAAAGGATTAACAGAGACAAGAGAGATACATTATGCTTTTCTTACGCTGATCCTCATTGTAAAGATGATGATAGAGTTTGTTTTCCAATATACTTCAAAAGATTTGTATAAATTATCAATAGCAATTTTTTTCTTTCTCTTTTCACCAACCTCAATCCTTTGGTCTTCATATTAACAACATATTCACTCACCTTTCCATACATAAACATACTGTACATGGATATGAATGAATAAAACCACTGAATGAATAAAACCACTGGAAAGAAGTCAGAAGAAACATTTGAGGATATTTGAATTGTAAAGTTCAAGAATTGAAGCAAAGCTAAGGAAGAAAATAATGCTATTTTAAATAAGATATTTTTTTTAAAAAATGATGTCATTCAAAAGTATATACTAAAATAAATAAAATGCAATGAGCAGCAATAAGAACTGGGTAGCTTTTCTGTTCCTAACTTACCAACAGTGGGTTCACCATCTGTCAGCAAAATGATCATTGAAATGCTTTTTTCTGGCAATAACTCCTCTTTGGTGGCTTGATCCAGAGAATTAATGGCTGTCAAAAGAGCTTCATTAATATTTGTTCCTGCAATAAGAAGAATTGTAACAATGAATATGCTAGTAGTGTTGGGATTGTTCTAAAAACATGGAGAGTAAATTTCAAGGCATTCGAAGAAATCTATTTAATCAGATGCAGTTTTAACTATCTTTGCTGATTAAATAAATACAAGTAAATAAAGGCACTTTGACACTATTTCTACTATCCAGTCATTCAAAAGCAAAATTTCCAGACTCCCCTCTTCAATTACAATTGAACCACCCAATCTGTGCGTTCCAGAGAAAAGATTGATGATCTCTCAATTTTGTGAAGTTGATGCTTCATAAATGCTCCTTTTCAATGGCAACACCTACATTACGGCATTGCTTCCCAGCAGAAATCAAATTGATCCCTATTTTTAGCCTTCTGGGAGTTTTTAACAATTGTGGTATTCCAGAGGGTTTGTAGTAAATGTTAGGATGCCAGTGGTGTTATTTATTTTGGTTTCAGGCTGTTATTGAACATCTAAATTTATTGTGGATGTTTTAATTTTATGCTTCTTTTTGTTTGCCTTTAATTGCTTTAACTGCTGAGTCTTAGATTATTTATTCATTTATAAATGACATTTATACATGTCACAAACAAACATGTGATTTGAAGCCAACTAATGTTTCTCAATTGCCACTAGTCTCAAAATATTATGAATGCCTCCAGGCTGCATCAGATGATCAATCAGTCAATGCAAAAACCAGTATCCATATTTTTATGTCAAGTTGTGTTTATTCTTTTCCCCCAGCTCTGAACACCTGTAGAGAAAGAGCTGCAAAAGTGCAAAAATCATAATCTCTTCTGGTGGGTTTTTTTTCTAACATATCTTCAAAGTAATAGCATATTGGTAATATGATACAGCAACTGGGCCTGTTCTAGGAAGAGTCAAAAGTTAGATTCAGAGTCCTGGGAAATGGACAATATCACCCTGCCAACTTTCTGGAGCTTCAGATTCCAAAGGGAAACTTGTTTAACTAAAATTGAAAGTAGCTCAGCTAAGAACAATAAACAGCTGATGAACAGAGATGACAGGGATCTCATTGTTATGGTGCCAATCTGAAAGGAGCACTAAGTCCTTATATGGGATTGTCATAATTTATACCTGTGATGGCAAACGTATGGCATACGTGTCAGAGGTGGAACACAGAGCCATCTTTCTGGGCACGCAAGCTGTCACCCAACTCAACTGCAGCTGCGCATGCGTGCACGCCCCAACTGGTGTTCGGACCTCCAGTGCACATGCGTGCAATTCAGGGAACCCAGCTGGTCTTCGGAGCTCTCCTGCGCATGTGCGCATGTTTGTGCATGCACTATAGAGTACTTCCATGCAGTGCGTGCATGAGTACACGGCATTTGCATGCATGCATTGCAAGCATGAAACCTACATGCATCCACAGATGGTGCAATTGCACACGCAGTGCATGGGGGTGCGTGCAAAATCTGCACCATCTGCCATGAACATGCACAGATAGTGCAGTTGCATGCACAGAGCACGGGGAGGAGCCATGCATTAGCGCAGATAGCACATGCGTGCACAAAGCGCGTACCTGTTCGGCACTTGGTGAGTAAAAGGTTTGCCACCACTGACTTATACAAATAGAAATCTCTGGTTTCAAATCAGGATAATTGCTAAGGCAATAGTAATACCTTTAATTTTCATAATAATAGGTTCATAATAATAACTTCAGCTGCAAAAAACTAACTTTGTTGATCTCTCTCTCTCAAAAAAGATAAAATCAAAGAAAAATCAAATACATGGAGGAATGAGCATTATTATTAATAGTAGTATTATTATAGATCTTTATGTGGAGACCCTGGTGCTCTCTGAGCTTTTGGGGAAAATGAATTTTTGAGCTTTTAAAAAAAATCTCTGAGCTGAGATTTTTATTCAGGGATAGATAGATGACTGACAGACAGACACATAGAGAAATGTCAACTCAAGAGAGCAAATATAACAATAGTAATAGCACTTAGATTTATATACCATCCCATAGTGCTTTACAGCATTCTCTGGGTAGTTTACAATGTCAGCATATATTGGCCCCAACAATCTGGCTCCTCATTTTATCAACCTTGAAAGGATCAAACTCCAGACTGTGGGCAGAGTTAACCTGTCATAGTGCATTTTAATCACTGTGCTACCCGGGCTCCTAATATATCTAATACTCCTGTCTCCAGGTTCCCCTAAAACAGTGTTTCTCAACCTTGGTAGCTTGAAGATGGGTGGACTTCAACTCCCAGAATCCCCCAGCCCGCACTACGGGCTGGGGGATTCTGGGAATTGAAGTCCACCCATCTTCAAGCTACCAAGGTTGAGAAACACTGCCCTAAAACAACAGCCCTCATTGTTATTAATGTAATCTAAAATACCTTGAATGACATTGAATATAAGAAGGAAGAAATAATTATTTGATGTTTTTAACAAAAAAAAAAAAGTCAAGTAATTAAATGAAAAACTGGAATCAAGAAGGTTTGGATATCAGTTCCAGTGAACTCCTGATTAAAGCGCTATTGCAAAGATGGACTTCTACTTAGTCCTCATACTGACCTCCTTGCGCATGAATAGTTTGAACATACTGTTTAGCCGATTCCACATTTTCCTTGCTGGCTTGCAACAAAGTGGGCTTCCACTTTGAACTACTCCTACTAAAGACAATTAAATTAAAATTGTCTTTAGGATTCAGATCTTCCAAAATCTTTTCCAAGGCTTCTTTAGTCTATAACAAAGAGTAAAACAACACACGGTTAAATTCTGTAACCAAAGCTAGCATTTTGACATCTATTATAATAAGTGAAAATATATATAACCTTTGACCTGTGTACACAGAACCTTCATTTTTCCCTTAATATAAATTAGAAAACACAGGAGGATATATCTCATAATTACAATTCTTGCCTTTTATAAAACAAAGGCAGTTGTTAATGGTTTCCAAATAAGATGGAATGTTTAACCAACTTTAAAGGGTAATTATTCCACAGCTCATTTTAAAGCTTTTAGCCAGTTGCTCAATTATTTGTTTGCTAGATTTATATTTCACTTTTCCTCCTCAATCTCAAGTCATTTTACGAGAACTGCTCTGTGAGGTAGGTTAGTTAAGAGAAAATGACTGATCCAAAATGGCTGGTCTATTGAAAGAACAAGCTATCATGTGTACCTTGGTAATAATAATTCACTTAAAAGTAATGATATATACAAAGCCAACAAGGAAATAAATTTAAACAATAGAGGGATGGAAGAAGTCCTGTTTATTCTGACTCAAGCACATCATCGTTCTTTCTTAATTCACAGCTATAAAAGAGAGAGGAGGCTGAGAATATCTGAGGCTGACTTGCTGAAACAAAATAATTTTCATTGGAATTAAACTTGGCATACAACAAAAACTATCAGTAGACTCAAGAAAAGGCTCTGTTTTGGGAGAAATTACCTGCCGAATTTTATTGCCAGCCATAGATCCACTTTTATCTATAACAAAGATGATATTTTTGGGAAATACTGGCATTTCACTGGGTGCAAAATAATGGACAAAATAACCATTCACGATCTGAAATGAACAAAATATGTTATTTTAACATGTTACAGACACATATTTTGATATACTGGAAGATAAAGAAACTAAAATTAGCTATATAGGATACTGGGTCAAAAATACTTTTATATATTTATTTATTTAATTTACATGCTGCCCATCTCATCAATTGGGTGAGTCTGAAATTTTGGTTGAAGAAATTCATTTCTATAAATTGTTTAACTCTCCGAAACATACATTAGTTTACTGCATGAAAAGTACTGAAGTCTGAAACCAAACTTTTAGCCAAGGACTTCTGATTTAACAAAATGTAAATGTATTCCTAACTATAGATACATAAATTCAGTTCAACAAAATATGAAATGACCTTCTGTATGTTTAGTGATAGGCAGTAAAGGTCTTTTGACTGTATCTGTTCTAACTGTGGTTCGGTGTGTGTGTGTCCCCCGCCCCCTTTTTCCACAGAGAGCAGACCAACACAGTGTGTGCTGTTTCTCATAGGATACGTTCCCTGCTGTGGAGTTACATTGCTGCCCACTGGCAGTTGCCTGGCCTGAAATTTGCTGACCTGATCACTCCTACCATGACTGCTCTTGTACCATGTTTTTGTCAATCACCAGTTTTTCCTCCAAGCTAATGGGTGGCAAAGCTTAACAGATATGAGTTTTTTGAGCCTTCCCCTGTGGATAGCTACTAGTTGACCTGCTTTAGGACATTTCCCCATCATCTGAAATATATACCTTTAGATATAAGTAGAGATCGGGAAGGGTTCTATTCAGAAATTTGTTTTGGAGTGAGATAGCACAGCAAAAATGGTCAATAACACTGTATTATAACACTGTATTGAAATTATCAATAACACTGTATTTTCATACACTATGATTATAAAGAGCCATGGTGTTGCAGTGGTTAGAGTGCAGTACTGCAGGCTAACACAGTGCTCAAGGTTGACTCAGCCTTCCATCCTTCCAGGTCAGTAAAATGAGGACCAAGATTGTTGGGGGGAATATGCTGACTGAAAAGTCTTCTGTAGAACTTTGGAAGCTATCAAAGTTTCTGTCATGTTTCAATCTATCTCATGTTAATACTTTTGAAAGACCACTCAGTTTGGAGCACTTTTAAACCTCCATCTTTTCCATTCCTCAATCCATCCAAAAGTGTTTGCCTTTCCAGCTTCTGATTTAAGACATACTACAAGACATACTACAAGCAGGAGAATGGAGAGCTCCTGTCATTGGGGGATGAAAAACATCGATTTTCTGTCTGAAGCTTTCTCTGGGCAATGTGGAGTAAGAAAGAGGAAAACTAAATCTAACTCCAGTACAACTTCAGTCAGTCCCAGTTGAAGGTTTAAGGTTGAGATTAAATACCTCATAGATACTGGAAAAATGTTTTTGGGACCGGTTTGTGGTATAGATACAAATGGGAATATAGCCAAAGAAAATTACTCTGAATTTATGATAGAATTTGAGAAATCTGGGAAATAAATTGATATTCCCAAGGGTCTGAAGTCTTTTACTACATTTCCAGTAAGTTTTGAACAAACAAGATTAGTTTTTGTTTATATCCCTTGGGTTCACATTTCAGTACTCTGAATCATTGAATTGGAATCATTGACCAAAACAGAGGGTGAGGGCTCTTTAAATGATCCTTTCTCAAAGCTAAGGGTTCAGCTAAGTGTACCAAAAGACACAGTCAGACAGCCATATAAAGTACCTTCTTCCAATCCAAAAGCAGACAGAAAAAAACATGCCACATATTTCAAGAGGACAGTGAGTGCAGCTGTCCTAATCATTTAATGAGAAAAGGGATTGGTGGGTTCCCTAGATTTCCCTTTCTTTCCCACTGAATGCTACCTGAGAAGAAGTGGTGGGACAGAGATGGTATGTGTAGGAGAGGACTTAGAACAGGTAATCCAGCCAATTTATGGCCATTATGAAGGCATGAAGGTACTCTGTATCCAGTGGTGGAATTCAGCCAGTTTGCACCACTTCGGGAGAACTGGTTGTTAACTGTCTGAGCAGTTTGGCAAACTGGTTGTTGGAAGAAACCAATAGGGCAGAGAACCGATTGTTAAATTACTTGAATCCCACCACTGTCTGTATCTGTGACCTGTCATTTGCGTGATTTCTGGATAAGAGTTTAGCACAGTCATGAAAGAATATTAGATCCTTCTCAAAAATGAACTTGTCAGTTAACAGATGAAGAGAGAAAGGTCAGAAGTAGGTGGCATAGTCAAAAACAAGAGAGCTTCACCCTCAAATAGCACCGCAAGGGTACGTTGGCAAATGGATGTGGAATAGGCAAAGTGGCACAAGGACTTCCCACGAAAGTAATAAAAGCTTCTCTGTCCTTTATTGGCAGAAGCAGTTGAAAACCTATGTTTGTGATGAAAGCAGCAATACACAGCTGGAAGAATGTAGCTCTCTTTCACTGTTTAAATCAAGCTTCTGGGTAAGTTCTTTATTAGTTCTAAAGAATGCTAGTCCTATTTTTAAAAAATGTGTGTCTAACAGTGTTTCAGGAGAGCATTGCATAAGTCCTTTTTCCAGGATCTCCTGCAGCCCAGATCAAAATGGCCACAGAGGTCAATAACCTAAAATAACAGAAGTGGGATAGATCTCAATCCCTGATCTCATCAGCAAGTACATGAAGCAAGCTAGATCTTATCTATGCAAAGGTTCTCTCAGCAGAAAACATTACTTTAAAACTTTAAAACCTGAAAATGACTTCGCTGCCCTTGCTCAGAGCCGGGAATAAGATAAAGGCAATACCTTGAGGACATGGCATGACTCCTCTCCTCCCACCCTATCCATTAATGCCAAAAGATTATGATACTGCAAGATTTCAGGACAGACCCTAAATAATGGCTATTGTTAGAATCACAGGTGAATTTAAAAAGTCATGTTACCTGTATGTCACCTACGGCAACATTTCTTTTAACATCATAACGTATGAGGAAATCTCCGTCTAGAACAGTCTGTTCAGACTCAGGGTTTTTCCTTTGCTGACTTAAGGTTGGTTTAAATGAAATATGAGCCTGAATATTAAAGAAAAATAAAATCATCAATCAGGCAAACTAACAATACAACAGTGATTTCTTATTAAGAATTTTCTAAGGAGCTTTAAGAATTTTGGGTCAAATCCAACCACATACCTTGGTCTCCTCCTGTGTCTTTACGAGAGCATCCTTTATTTCATTGTTCAAGAAACTGCTTTCTGTTTCTAAGAAGGATATGCCTTGTGGCTCAAAGATGTGGGTATCAATCTAAGCATAAACAAAAGCAAAAGATGTGATTGGGTCCTACCTTCTAAAGATGACAGATGGACAAAATTGTTGATGGAGATTTTACCTGAAAGTCTTTCACCAGTTGTTTGGGCTTGACTTTGATGATCAATTCATATTTCCCTAACTTTCGATCAAGTAATTGCTCATAATTCAACTCAAAGTTAACTTTACCAGCTGCTGCAACATTAACTGAAACACTAAACTTTTCCAATTTTCTTCCAGCTGATCTATAAATGAAAAAAGTATAATTTAGGTATTTTGTTCCTTCTACCCTGTTTCCATGAAAATAAGAAATCCCCTGATAATAAGCCCAATCGGGCTTTTGAGCACATGCACTATAAGTCTCCCCCCCCCCCAAAATAAGCCCTCCCTGAAAATATTTAAATGCAGAGCTGGAAATCAGATAAGATGCAAGAGGAGCCCCATCTTGCTCCATGCACCCCAAAATAATCAGACCTCCCTGAAAATAAGGCCATGTGCTTATTTCAAAAAAATATAAGACAGGGTCTTATTTTTGGGGAAACATGGTAAGTGCTTGCAAACCGGCTGCTTGATAATTTTTGCTACGATTTCTGCAGATGGTCTGTAGTTTCTTAGATCTACTTTTTCCTCCTCTTTAAAAGATCAAAACAACATTGTTTCTTCTTCAATCCTATGGCACTTTCCCTGTACTCCAGCAATTCTCAAAGATTACAGTTAGTAGTTCTGAGATCACATCTGCCAATTTCTTTAGCATCCAGAGACTAAATTCACTCACAGCAGCTAAATGTTCTGTCACCAGTTCCTTACCTATTTTAATCACTATTTCTCTTCTCTTTCTCCCTGTATGGCTTGTGACAGAACCTTTTTTATTTTTTTATTGCTATTTTTGGCATTCATGATAAGCTTCAGATTATCCATAGGCTTCCTGAGACATCTTTAAAAATTCAAGATGGCTTGCATGGTTTATTACTTTATTACATGGATTTTCTTATTTAAGGCTTTAATGCATAAACCCTCTGAGGAATCACAGTCGAATCTAATTATCTGCATGTGCCAAGAAACAGTGGATCATATGAACTGAGTGGGTCTGGTTAAGAAAAGGCATCCGCTTAAAATCAAAACTTGGGAAAACTTCTTGTACTTACTTGACCAATCCAGCACTTTCACCTCGGGAAATGGCGGAATCATACTGAGCTTGAGCAGCCTTTTTCTCCTTGATTATTCCAGGGTATGTTTCTCCATCTATGATCCTTCAAAATAGATGTTTCAAAGAATTCATAAAGATCCACAAAAAGAAAATGAAAACACACCGATAGTAAGATATTTTATGAAGTGAAAGAAATACATGATTGGATTGAATATAATTTCAATTTCATTTTAATCATAATTTAGAAGTAGGACCATTTGAAGTGTTGATGGGAAATATTCATCTGGGGTGGGGGCTTGCATTGTCTTTCTTTATCAATGTAATTTCCCCCAATATGGTTTCTTATCCAATTCAATCAATTGTGGAAGTAGGATTGTACAGACAAACTCCAATGCTCAATAATTCTTGTGGTTACATTTTAATCAATCAGTGTGATTTTGCTTTGAATGAAAAGTTTCTTCCAGGTGAGGTCTGTATTCAATGGTTTCAATTGTTCTGAAAATATTCCCCAGTTTTACATAGGTAAATGATTTGTTTTTGCAGTAATTTGATCTGTATTTGTATTTTTAGTCCCGAATTACATATTTGGGGAGTTGTATGCTGCTCCAGATTTGGTAATGGGAGAGCGTTATCAACCTTGAAAAACAAGTAAATAAAATTCAGATCTGTCTTGTCATTTCAGATGTTGAGCCATACTTTGGAGGATTTCCCAACTAAATTGCTCCCATAGACCAACTTTAAAAAAAGATTTGTTAAAAAGATTTATGGGTCTCAGGGTATCTACCATGAGATTTATTATGTAGAAGAATTTTGCCAGTCTTGACATTCTTACAAATGTTGTAAACAAGAAATAAGGATACATCCTGTGGACCATTGTTTTTCTTAACTTTGGAAACTTTAATATGTGTGGACTTCAACTCTCAGAATTCTCCAACCAGCAAGGTTGAATAAGATTGTTGTATATATTTACTCCTTTCTTTCTATAGTCCTCAGTGGGAGATTGATTGCCAACTCTTACTCAAATTCTGAAATTCTCCATCTTTTAAAATACCTAAATAGTGCTTACATGCTGAAGTTTGTGATGAAGGCTTTCTTGGGTAGCTCTACATCAAAAAGAGCCTCCTTGGATTCATTTGCCCTGTTGACAATTCTGCTGGTGATGACTGTGTGGGCATACCGTGACATAACTTTGCAGTCAATGTGCAGGCTGTAGATTTCAATGGCATTCTAGGGGAAGAAGAAAGAAAGCTTTTATCAGTTTCTTTGCTGGAAGTTGTTACTAACAATTGAACAAAGACTAAAAATTTAGTAGCAAACACCACACAGAGTCACTTTTATAAGAAACAAAAATAAATCAATTTTTGATATGATAATTTGCTGTAATAAAAATGCAAGATCATTCTTTTAAATTATTAAACTATTTTTATGGTGTTTGAATATATTATATAAAACACCTATGGTATATGCTACTAAAACTCTTGTTATGACATTTGCCTGAGTGAAGGTGAATTATAAGGAAATCATTTTTGAACCAAGCTTCCTCAAATCGGCTAACTGACAGAATGCATCTAATAGAATGAAATTTGAGGAAGTTATGGCTGTTTCATTGTTGTAGGCAAGCAGGCAGATAATGACAGAATGACAGGAAGGGAGGGAGAGAGACAGTGAGGGAAGGGAGGGAGGGAAGGAGGAAGAAAGGAAGGGAGGGAAGAAAGAAGGCAGGGAGGGAGGGAGGGAGGGAGGGAGGGAGGAAGGAAGGAAGGAAGGAAGGAAGGAAGGAAAGATATTTTAATCAGACATGGATTGTCTAGTGTTATATAAAATATGACACTGCTGAAAAAAATGCTATTGTAAGATTTGGTTTGCTGTGTGCAGCTTACCAACTTCTCAATTTTGACATGTTCAGAAGTAAAGAATCTTTTTCTGGCACACATGGAAAAAAAATCCATAAACATCTGCACCTAGCCTGGCTAAGTGGCTCAGTGGCTAAGATGCTGAGCTTGTTGATCAGAAAGGTCCGCAGTTCAGTGGTTCAAATCCCTAGTATACTGCATGAGCAGGGGGTTGGACTAGATGACCCCCAAGGTCCCTTCCAACTTTGTTACTGTTTTTTAAAAAAACCTGCATCTTCCTAAAAGAACACCTTCCCACCCACCCACCCACCCACCCACCCACCCTGCAAAATGGGTTGTTCTGTCATGATATCCTAAATCAGCCACAAGAGACATCTTTATCTTATTCTTCCTTAAGACATGGGCATCTCGGCATTTACACTTGTATTTTGCATTTGTCCTAAACAATAAAGAATAAAGTAAGAAATTAAGATTGATGTTTGGCAGACTGTTAAAGCAAAAATGTGTTATAGGTTACAAGGAGAAACGGACTTAGTTGTTTGCTCATCATAGCATTTATGTCTTCTATATGTTGCCAGCACATGGCTGGCTGCCTTTGGCAGATGAACTGCCTGAAGTTCTCCCTGCTTAGTAACTTTTAAGTAAACCAAAGTCAGATATTTGTCATTCATGTTTATAGAATACATTGGAATAGGATTCTCAAAGTGTAGAATATTGTAATAGTATACAGGTAGCCCTCAACTTACAACCATAACTAGGACTGGAATTTCAGTTGCTAAGTGATGCAGTCCTTAAAGGAACCCATCACACAACCAGATACAATTTTACAACCATTTTTACCATAGTCATTAAGCAAATCTGGCTTCCCCTTTTGACTTTGGTTGTTGAAAAGTAGCTGGGAAAGTCACAAATTATAATCATGTGGACATGGGATAGTGCAATAGTTATAATTTCAAAGACAGTTTATAAGTCACTTTATAAATTTATAAACCATAAATGAATAGTTGTAAGTCCTCTGTACAGAACTACCTGTATAAAGTCTGAACTGGGTCTCTTTTAGAAAGTTAAAAAAATTTCATTGATGAATTCATTTACCTTTTTTTCCCCATGTATTAACAACTTTTTAAAAAATAAAGAGTGATTTAACAATTGATGTTTCTTTAGAAGTAGTAATTGGCTTAAAGACATGGGTTTTGCTTATAGTCTCTCAGATCCTGTACATGCTGAACGGGTGTGAACTTCTGCGTAGGATCCTGGAGTACTGATATCAGCAGGGATGTTCACAAAGAAAGGATTTTTTTTTTTAAAAAAAGTTAAGGATGCAACTATGCTATTGAAGTTCTGATCTTTGAATATGCATCAATACCACAAGTGGGCTTTCAATCATGTTGAAATGTTCTGACTTTTTTTGAGCCTTCCCCTGTGGATACCTACTAGTTGACTTGCTTTAAGACATTTCCCCATAATCTGAAATATATACCTTTAGATATAAGTTGAGGTCGAGTAGGGTCCTATTCAGAAATTCATTTCAGGGTGGGATAGCAGAGCAAAAATGAAATTGTCAATAACTACTGTCTTTTTTAAGTATAACGAGTGATCATACAGAGCCGTGGTGGCGCAGTGGTTAGAATGGAATACTACAACCAAACTCACTGCTCACTTGATTCTGAACAGCTCAACGTTGACTCAGCCTTTCGTCCTTCTGAAATCGGTAAAATAAGGACCCAGATTGTTGGGAGCAATATGCTGACTCTGTAAACCATTTAGAGTTTACTTTAAAGCACTATGAAGCAGTATATAAGTCTAAGTGCTTATAAAAAGTTTAAAATGCACAGAAAAGGTCTTCTGTAGAACTTTGGAAGCTATCAAAGTTTCTGTCATGTTTCAATCTATCTCATGTTAATACTTTTAAAAAACCACTCAGTTTGGAGCACTTTTAAACCTCCATCTTTTCCATTCCTCAATCTATCCAAAAGTGTTTGCCCTTCCAGCTTCTGATTTAAGACATAGTGATTATATACTACAAGCGAGAGAAAGGAGAGCTCCTGTCATTTTGGATGAAAAACACACTGAGGCAAAAATTTCCAGCAATGGAGCCTGGGCTGCTCTTAGGCTCTGAAGAGCTGCCACATGTCAAGAAAACAGATTTGCTTTGTTAAAGTCTTGCATTACTTTAGAGGAACTTGTAATAAATCAAGCTCTGAAGTCTGCTGGCTTGCGAGACTGGATCCAAACTAAGGGTGATCCCAAATTGCTAGGATCCCAGCAAAATACCCTTATCCATTTTGACAACAGATAAAGTTCAAACCCACAAAACTCTCATTCCACAAACCGAGGAGATGGAAGTTTAACTCCAGCTGTCTGATAAACTGAACTTAGAATCAAAGAGCTAGAACTATTTTGGTCCCTGAGTTCAATCCCCCGTTTGGTGGGGGAATCCAAATTCAAGTACCTCTTTTGAGCCCCTCAAATAAGGGGCTGCCACTTCTCTGATGGACAAATTCCCCTGTTAATCTGCTCTTATTAATCTTCCGTTACATCTTTATACTGATACACATATCCAAATACAGTCACAGGTGCCATTTCTAAACAACATGTTCAGTTACAGTGCAACTTGTCTTCCCTTGGTCTAAGTCTAGTTCTTCTCGGTTAGCTATTTGTTCTCCTTTTCAAGCTATAAAATTAATTGAATGATTAAAAATTCAGCCATGCATATTTTTTTCATATTTCAATGAACAATTAAGCATCAATGAAGGCAAGTACCTGATGGATAGCAGCATCTGTTAATAGAATTTGTGAAGACAAAGCCAGCCAGAGAGTCAGCAATTGTTTTCCCATTTTGGAAATGACAGTACCATAGAGGAGGATTTATTTATTGGACAGTTAAGTTAATGAACAACTACAATTTGGTAAAATTTGAGAAACCAGTAAGTCTAATATTTACACAGAGATGTAAGGTACAATTAACCACTTCCTACATAATACAACTTCTTCAAAGTCTTGCTAAATATTCAACTATTGCTGCCTGTTTTAACATTTATTGATTACCGGTAGTTCTTGTGTACATTATCTGAGATTAATGCTACCCTTCAATCAACTGGACATTGATCTTGTAACTCCAGAATTTAAAGTTGAAGGCAGGGGTGAACCTTTATTATCTTAAAATATGTTTTCTTAAATATTTCAGAAAGGTTTGAGAAAACCTTTGAGAAATATTGGGAACTGTAGCACTTTTCCATTCAAAATTTATCAAATTTGACTGATTTTTATTAGAAGTCAAGATATTTTGATTGTCAACTATTTGCATTGGGTAGATATAGATTACACTGGTGAAGTTACTATTGTCTGGGTTAAATCTTAGGATAGGTGATGTCACTATAACTTACACATTGTCTGAATTATTGGGTTAAATCCTAGGATTTTGAAGTAACTACTGCAAAATTCAGATTAATAACAATAAGCCCATATTTTCTATAAACTCTATCTTTGACGCTGATTCTTTTATCCTTGTTGCTGGATATCAGGAAATGTTTTCTCATTGGTAAAAACCATTCGATGATTCCAATGGTTAATTTTGCTATTATCTAACATTACTTTTTTAAAAAAAAAAATCATGACTGCAGTTAATTTGCTACCATGCTGGCAAGAAATGATCTGTACTCTCATAAATATCAGAATAATAGAGTTGGAAGGGACCTAGTCCAACCCCCTGCTCAACCAATGTTGACGAACCTTTTTGGCACAGAGTGCCGAAATGGGAGCATGCACGCATACGCATGCCGGAAACCAGAAGAGCAGCCTCCAGGTGCGCGTCTGGCAGCTGCTCTTTGGGTTTCCAGCACATGCATGCATGCCGGCCACCTGGTCTTCCAGTTTCTAGTGTGCATGCATGCACAAAGACCAGCTGGCTGGTGCACAGTGGGTACCGGAAACTGGAAGATCCAGTTGATCCAGAAACTGGAAGACCAGGTGGCCGGTGTACATGCACGTGCCGGAAACTGGAAGAGCAGCTGACTGGCACATGTATGCGCACCTGGTGGCTGCTTTTCCAGTTTCTGGTGCTCCCACACATGTGAAGACCAGCTGGCCGGCATGCTGGAACCCGGAAGAACAACAGGCGACGGCTCATGTGCCCAGAGAGATGGTTCTGCGTGCCACTTCCGGCACGCGTGCCATAGGTTCGCCATCATGGCTTTATACCATTTTAAACAAGTGGTTGTCTAATCTCTTCTTAAAAACCTCCAGTGATGGAGAATCCCACAACTTCTGAAAGCAAGCCGTTCTACTGCTTAATTGTTCTAACTGTCAGAAAAATCACTATTCTTTCTACATCCTGAAAAGGAATTAAGTTCTTCATCTGCAGCCAGATCTTCTAAGTGATTGAATAATCATGTCTTCTTTTCTCAGAACTGGGATTTCATCCAGTATGTAAATAAAAATTAATAAACATTACCATGTTGAGTCTAAAAAGGTATAAATGTTAGAGAATGTATTCTCTCTCCCCACACTCCTTCTCTCCCCCCACTCCCCACTGTCTCCATCCTTTTATATGCCCCATATATTCATTCCTAGCTGGGCAAACTAAGTCTACACTCTTCATCCAAAACAATTATATTATGATAATTTCATTCTTTTTAAATTAGACTTGCTACAGCTGCTGCTCTACTTAATTACTTGGTATTCTTTTAAAATACTGCCTATGCTCAGGAAGAATGAATCCTCTAACAAGGACTCTTAGTGAGTGGAACTCTCCAATATACATTAAAATAAGGAATGAACAAATGAACAAACAGCAGGAGAGCCTTCATCATTTGGGGGAAATGGGTCAATCCAAGGCAATGATAGTGGGGGGAGGACGAATTAAATACCAGATAATCAGCAAATTCAGGTTGAGTTATCAGTGGCAAAAAAAGCCTTTCCATTCTGTAAATAACAGAGTTTCTGAAAGTCACTAATGTACAAGAGAGGCTGGATTAATAAATATCTAGACTATGGAGAAACGTTTTTGGAAATGAGCAGGATAAGGATATTGGCCTCTAGTTCTTTATCTGTGTTAAATCTGAATTATTAGTAGTCATGAGTATTAGGGTAATATTTGCTTCCGTCCACGAGTTTGGTATTTTTGCTTCTAGTAATACTTCATTATAAACTTCCACCATCACTGGGTTTAATACCCCTTCTAGTTGTTTACAGAATTCTGCTGGTAGCCCATCGGGACCTGGCATTTTATTATTTTTTAGTCTCTTAATCACTACTGTCACTTCCATCATGATTATCCGTTCATTCAACATATCCTTAACTATATCCGGTACATTGGGAAGTTCAGATTAATAAATATCTAGACTATGGAGAAACGTTTTTGGAAATGAGCAGGATATGGATATTGGCCTCTAGTTCTTTATCTGTGTTAAATCTGAGTCATTAGTAGTCATGAGTATTAGGGTAATATTTGCTTCCGTCCACGAGTTTGGTATTTTTGCTTCTAGTAATACTTCATTATAAACTTCCACCATCACTGGGTTTAATACCCCTTCTAGTTGTTTACAGAATTCTGCTGATTGCCTATCGGGACCTGGCATTTTATTATTTTTTAGTCTCTTAATCACTTCTGTCACTTCCATCATGATTATCCATTCATTCAACATATCCTTAACTATATCCGGTACCTTGGGAAGTTCAGATTAATAAATATCTAGACTATGGAGAAACGTTTTTGAAAATGAGCAGCTCTAATGTTTACATATTGGGTTGACTCCAGCAATGTCCTTCTGGCATAAGATTGGGCAGGAGTTATTTTTTGTCAATAGAAGAAAATATCTGTAGTGTAGAGTTGGACTGTAGAGTCCTTGATGCTCTCTGAACTTCGCTGTTTACTTGCAGACATTTCATTAGCCAACTAAATAACATCATCGGTGCTAATGCATGTGGGGTATGCTCCTGTTTATATCCAGTAGCTTGATCTGCCAGTCTTGGTGGAGAGTTTCAAGGTCTGGAGATTCCATGGTTATGGAAACCGGTTGGTGAAAGTGTAGGAAGTTAGCACCCACCCCTCTCCTAGAAGATTGAAATATTCTAGAAAATATTAAAAAGGCAGAATATTATATTTCCCTGGATGAGAAATGGAGAAACATGTTTTTTTAGGCAGGAAGCAGACTCACTCTTAATAGCCCCCACCCTCCTCAATAGCCCAAAGCAGATGTCAGCACTTAAGAGATAAAGAGATAGCTAGGTCTATTCATAAGCAAATGCCCTCACCCAAGATCCAGCAAAGGTAGGATTAGTCCTCAGCCATAATAGGAATTGCCCAAAACCCTCTTCATTACATCATCACCCAGCAAGATTCAACCAGGCCTGGGACTCAAAAGTCAACCTACAAAGTTACCCCTGCATGGCCCCATGAGAGTCTGACAACCAATCAGAATACAAGCTCAAATTCAAAGCCCAATAGAGAGGATAAATCTCTCTCTTTCACCCATGTGCTCTTTTTTTTTTGCTCAGGACCTGAAACCATGTGGTCCTGTCCACCATTAAACCATCTTTCAACAGCCGCCATGTTTCCAGTGTCTTTCTCCCCATTTGGAACTGAACCCAGATGGACATTTTTTCCAACAAAAGCAAAAACAGACTAGTTCAGCTCAGAGAGAAAAAGAGTTTACAGCCAGAACTGGTTTGAAAAGTCATTTTAGTTGTTATTTTTTTGTTCAGAAGCTTTATTGTTTTCTGTTTTCATTTTCATATTTGTGTCATATTAAAAACATTCTGTAAATATTGCAATGCTGCTCCTTGATCTTCTTGATGTATGGTTACATGCTTAGTAAAGTATATTCCTCAGCGTAGCTTACAGAACTCAAGTTTGATTGTGTGAATGGATGGCTCTCTACAGTTAAATACAGTGGTTAAAAGTATTGGAGTTATAGCAGAATAAAACCAGTTCTGGTCCTTTTTCAGGCATAACAGGCAACTTTGAGGTAATCATTCTTTCTAAGCTCTAGACTGGAAAGTTGAAAAAACATCTATCAGACTGGACTAATGTACTAGATCGGGGTCTCCAACCTTGGCAACTTTAAGACTTGTGGACTTCAACTTCCAGCTTTGCTGGCTGAGGAATTCTGGGAGTTGAAGTCCACAAGTCTTAAAGTTGCCAAGGTTGGAGATCCATGTAGTAGATTATGGACCATAACCTTAAATGAAGAGACTTCATCCCATGCTTTACCATGAAGAAAAAAAAATCTGTTCTTATCCTCAAAAAATGATTGACTCAAGTCTTCATTCCTCACAAACAAAATAACTCCTTTACTCTGCTGCTTATGGTTTGGGAGATTATAAGAGGAGCTTGAACTATGTTTTCAGTGGTTTAGTGCCCTAAAACAAACCACTGTATAATCATTGGCTCTTCTAATCAAACACATGAAATCTTTGCATGAAGAGTGAACTAGTATGTTCTAGTCCTGGAGACAGTGTCTGAATTTGCTCCTTACAAAAAAAAAAAAAAGCTACAAAGAATTAAGATAAAATAATGTAAATAAAAAGAATTAAAAAGAAATAAAGCACAGTTTAGAAACAACCATCCCATTCCTTTTTAAAAATCAGGTCACTACATAAGCTGACAGCGCCATCATGAGGCTCTTACCAGGAAATTAGCAAGTGATTAAATTCAGCAAGTGTTTTAAATATAAAGTAATGCACTAAAATTTCCAGGATGATTCAGAACCAGGAAGCAAACCCTGAACTTCTCCTTCTAGATTTGAACAAAGGCTTCTGGGTTGTCAAAAGAATGCAGACATTTACAGAATCTGCAGTAATATTTGTGCTTTAAAACATAAATCAAATGCATCATTCTGTTC